AAAGGTAGGACTTCCACAGATTATGAGCAAACTCATAAAAATATATGGATAGTGTAGATTATTTCATTTTACACTTCCTGTGTATCTATGTTTTATTTTGACCTATGGAATCATTGTTTTGTCTTTTTTCACTATATTATATTACTATTTGTTATTAAGGTATTGGACTTTACAATGAAAAATAGATTTTGGTATAAAGTGCATTGGTTTTATATAGTATTCAATATACTGCAATATATGGATGAAATCAAATGAAACAAAGTGAAGAAAACTTTATATATAGAACTATTGGATCTCTTTAATCTTTTCAATATATTTTATACATGAGTTTGATAAAGGTTAAATGGTAACTGATTAACCTACATTATTCATGTGTTTAAATTAAAATTTCATATACCATAACGTTAAATACAAAAAAAAAATCACAATTCCCAACGTGTTACGTAATGCATTTTTCCGTATAAGGAGTCAATCCCAATAGGTACAACCCCTCGTCAGTCATAGTCATAGAGTCACAGGAATATTATTAGATAAATGAACCAGAACGAACTGGCCGCTGTGACGCGGATTTAAAAAGGTGACATCCTTAGACCACATTTAATGAACTTAAAAGGGCCGTTCTGATTTTCCCCTGGTGGTTTACGTTTGCACTGCATCCAGCAGAGGGTGCAGCTGGTTGTCATGGCAGCAGTGCTGGCGATGGTTTGTCCTGGGAAGGGCTGCAGCATTGACTGTCGTCCGATCCTTACCACCATCTCAGTGAAGGGCTGTGGAATAACAGAACTGGTCAACACCACCGAGTGTACTGGACACTGCTTCATGACGGTAAGAGAGGATTTACATTTATACAAGTATAACGTTTCAAATCACGTGGTTTAAGTGACATACTAATACATGTTCTCTGTAACTCTATTAGTTAATCTAAATGTGCATTTATTCATATTTTGTTTCTAGAACAGAATGTTTTACTGAAATGTTTTTTGACACTAAGGAAGATTTGGCAAATGGTCACTCTATTTGGAAAATCTCTACTAGTTCCAGTTTTTTTGTTGGAAGTATTTTATTAGAAAGAATGATCCACGGTTTAGCTGTAATTAATTATTATTTTATTTAATTATTTATTTAATTATTAATTAAACGCCATGATTGCTTTAGCACAGCCACGTCGGTGGTAATTTCACATCCAAATGAAAACAAGTAAAAAAGTTGAATTTTAACACTACACATCCAGTAATCTAGGCAGCAACGCGACAGTTACAACATTTGTGTGTACATTTGTCATACTGTTTCATTTTATTTTTTTATGAAGCCCAGTGCATCCTCTACTTTACACACTTCCATTAATGTGTTGTTTTTAAATCCAGGATCACAGCTATCAAGGAAATCGGCAGCAGCAGAAGACGTGCAACGGAGACTGGACCTATATGTTTAAACGTATTGATGGGTGTCCAGAGGAAGTGCCCTACCCTGTGGCCATGAAATGCAATTGTGCTGTATGTGATCTAAAGACCATGGACTGTGGACGGTTTGTTGAAACTATACCAACATGTGATCCATTGTTAAAAGAGTAAATGTACATAGTTACATTTATTGGCTTCAATTGGCTGGAACTGAAATAAACAGACATTACTCAAGTGCACTTTGTGTTATGTCTTCATTTTATCAAATGAGGAAAGCAAAAACAAACTGCTTAACTGTAATGATAAAAAAAACCCATCAACCATCATAACAAGTCCGTGTAAACGTAAGGTGCCACTGCTCAACAGCAATCAAATGTATTAATGTTAAGATGCACATACATGGTTCCAGTTTTGCAATTGTTCTACTACTACTTATTGTGACTGTGGAGATCTGTGCGTCTCTGCGGTATGTACTTGTCATATTGGTTTTCAAACAACACATCATTACATTTGCAAAACTTTTATTGAAATGTTGTGTGTAAACATTTCCTTTGCTCTATCCCACTACTTGAATTTTGTATGTAATACAAATTTTCATCTAGTCAACTGCGGTGTGGAAGTAGCAATGTGAGTAGCAGTTTCAATCACAAAACATTTGCCAGCTCATTGTGATTAAATGAATAAGTCCCACAGCCCAAGGCAAAGGTCAGAAATCATAAATCTCTATTAGTTATAAAACTGCAGCCAAGAAAATACAATGATGGTAGTCCTGCATCTACATCAATGCCAAACGCTAATTAATTGTTTATTATTCATTCTTATTCATCCATCATCCTCTAATCATGCCAAGATGATCAATCAAAAAGCAACATTTTCACATCTTAATATCAGTACAGGCAATCCGCTCGTGTCTCTAAATAGAGTATCCCTGGGAGGAGGGTCTGCACCTCGTCCTCTCTAGAGACAGAAGAAGTGAATTAAAAGCTTACAGTATGAAATAAATAATTGTTTTCACTATTAGAGTAAAGAAATGAGCAGCAACTCAGGTCAACAGGTCAGCCATCTATGCAAAAACTTTATTTACACAAAGTACAATATGAATGTACAGAATATTTTGTATAGTATAGAAAAAAAAAACAAAGCACGGCCCAAAAAATGAACAAGAAAAACGTATTCTTTACAATATTTCACTTCAACAGTTTTCATAGGAACACTTTCCACAAAAAATCTTTCACAGTGACTGGTAACTAAACTGCAAACTTATTCCGTATGATCTCTCCACCTTCCACTTCCACCTGCTCGTAAAGCCACTTCCTATCACAGCGGCATTCCACACCACACTTGCGTGAGCCACACTCCGGGCATGGATAAAAACAGCCCATACAGTCCACATCCAGACAGTCACACATGTCGTTGCCATTAGAGATCAGTCGGCCTTTGTTGTCATACACTCTGCTTTTGGCTGCAGTATTCTGCCTGTATAATTTAGAGGAGAAATTGCAACAATGTGAAATCTAGTTAATGTAACTTAGCACAAAACATTTAAATTGTTTTGCCTTTAATCCAGTCTTTCCTCAATTCCTTTGAGGGAAGACTGGATTAAACTGTGTTTTTTACCCGTTTCTTTGTGTTTCTTCGAGTTTAAATCATCCTAGAATTTTCATTTGATCAGAAAATGTGTGCAATAGGGTTAAACCACTTTAAAATGTCTCACCTATCAGAGAACTGTTTTCCTCCACGGCCTCCCCGTCCACCCTGAGATTGATTAACAAGTACATTTGACATGCTGAAATTGTTACACTGCTAATCATGTTTGTCTTTTTTGACTACAACAAAGAGTACAACAACATTACAACTAAGAGGTTACTGGTTCTTAATCAATAGTAGAGAGTGAGACAGTAGCATGAGGAAGCTCACCCTTATTCCTCCCCTTTTGTCTCGGCGCATGTTGGCAGTTTCTCGAGTTCTGTCTCTGTCCACTTGTGCTACTGTTGGACTTACGTTGTTTGCCTCCTTTGGTACCACAGCTCTTTTTCGTAGTTCAATCTGTGGATTGTCACAATAAATCAAATGTAATTTGCTCTAATGACCTAAACAGGAGGAGGTAACATCTGTTCGATATGTTCGAAGTCTGCACCTTTGATGAATCCTGCCCATGGGTGAACAGCGTAGGCACTGCATCCTCCCTCAAAAACTGTTTGCCGTCGTGTTCTCTGAAGCAGTCTGTCCGAAAATGTTCTGAACAAAGGCAGGTATTTGGTGTTGGTATAAAGTTTTTCAGCCCCAGGCTCTGCACCCATTTGTTGGCAAGTTGAGGTTTGCTGAGTGGAAACCTGGCACAAAGAAGATACAAAGACAGAAGAGACAGCTTCTGATCAGACGGCCTACAGCATGCACAATTTTATAGCTGTTTGTAATCTGCAACATAACACTGTGGTGTTGTGCTGTTTCTTTTAGTAACGTTTTTGGTGCACTGCAAGGATTCAGACATTTTTATAATGACGTCTATAATTTACTTGAGGTAATGGCGTTTAGAATTGGTGGTTTCTTAAGATAAACTACCGATGAACATTATTTCCATGAAACCAACCAGTAACCATACTAAATTCCACCAGATTCACGTGAGCAGACTTTCTCCCAATGACTCTGTATGTATTCACAACACAAGAATACAACAACACACAATACACATTCAAACGAGAACAATTTTAATGTAGCATAGAACAAGATCCCACTAATATTAATTAGGTTAGAGCTTTGTTGCCTTAATGTAAACCCACCTGTAAAATCGTATTTCTGATCCTTTTACAAACTTGTTGTTGCACCCAGTAGCCGCGCAAATAACAGGCATTTTTCTCTATAATAATCTATAAAAAAATGAAAAAAGCTATCCTAAGTGTGCATAAAGAAGAGCAAACGAGAATATGTTGTACGGTTCTTCCTCGTTTTCAAAAATAAAAATCAACTTCCGGTGCTATCTCGGACGTGTCTGCCCTCTATCTGCAGTTCTCAGCCACTTTTTTCTTCTGTGGCTGCTTTTGGGTGTCAGCGTGTAACGCATGTGAACTGCTGCCTCTCCAGGCCAGTTAAGAGGGTGTTATTTGTATTACTGCTCCCATTCAAATATTTTTAAAAAGCCAAGTCCGATGTAACAAAAGTTCACACTAGAGCTGTTTGTGCCGCCGTGGTCCACGAGGGAAACATACATCAGTTAAGGATTATACTGTCACTCTTTGCATCTATTTTTTTGTGATTAAAAACGCTTCCTGTTGCGACTGAACGAGCCTAAGGCACAGCGATCCGGTCGCTACATCACATGACAGTTGTAGCTTTGTGAGCTAAAACGCTAGCCTCGGTTGTCTAAACTGCTGTCAACAACGTAACCCGACTGAACAAAGTAACCTGACTGGACCAAGAATTACTTTCCAAATTCTTCGACTAACGTAAGTCAACGCAAACATCGGTAAGCTGATGACCTTACTAAAGTGAACTCGATAGAAGGCAATGCCTAACGAGTTAAGCTAACGTTAACAATATGGGCCTTGTTTTAGATGGACTATTAAACTAATCCTGCCTAATCTCACCTAATCTCACCTAAACACTTTTATATAAAGGTTATCCACAAGAAATTAATAACAGCGTCAGCGTCAACTTGTTTATGAGCACAACTTGACGTTAAGTGCATGTTAGCCCCCAGCTCACTTAGCAGCACTTGTTAAAGTAACTAGAGTAGAGATAGTGCGGTCAAAACAAATACGACATATTGTCGTTTCAAGCGTGTGTCTTAACAGGATATTTATCACATGTGCTTAGGTCAGTTTAATGTGTAAACAAAACCAATACTTTGACGCAATAGTGACTTTAACCAAACATAAAGGCCAAACAGAAGTAGGCAACAGGGTCTAGGCAGAGCGATGTTGTTGTGATGGATCATTTCCTTGTGCATAATGCTGGTGGTTGTGTGTATTTTGAACCCTTACCAGTTTGTCTCGTTTTTCTTTTTCTAAACAGTGTTTGACTTGACATGAATATAAGTCAACCTGCTTTCAGCAGTTGTACGTCTTATATCTATATCATCTTGTGACTCTTGTGGACTGATTTATTTTGAATGTAGACCCTGATAGGTCTCCACAGCCCACGCAGGAGAAGTGAAAACACTGGGTGGGTCTGCTGAAGGGCCAAGTTTTTGGTGAACTACTTCTGTTCTCCCATCTGTTTTTAATCCGTGGGAACATTCATTTTTGGGCGTCTTAAAACACTGACTTTGACACTTTTACAACAATATTGCTGACTGAAAAATCCCATTGACATTTAACAACCAATAACAGGCCCCATAGACAATAGTCAGATTTTGAAACAATGCATGTCTACTGCCATTTACCTTTGAAGCAGCATTGGTTTTATTAGCATGTAAAAGAAACACTGCACTGTTTGTGTTTAACACCAGTCAACACATAACTCTGTTCAAATCTGTTCAACGTCATGTAGATACCTCAAATCAGATTGACAAAGTAGATTTTACTCCATGCTTCTGCTGATTGTTAATAATGAGATTAAGAAAAAAGAAGCAAAGTGTTAAAGTCTTAAAATCTAACCCATTGGTTTGACACTGTGTTTAATTGATTTCTGCTGCTGTTTTATTTCCAGCTGCCTATAAAAACATGAACATGGGCTAGGTGGTTGACTGATAAGATTTAGGGGACATTGGACTGGAGCAGAGTTCAGTGTGGAGATGACATTATCAGAAAGGGAGAGAGAGTAGAAATATTTTACAACCAAAGACTGTTAGTTCACCTAATAAAACCTGACAGATGAGAATATAAAATGACGGCACTCATCATCATGTAAATCATGCTGTAGTTAAATTTGTCCATTCTGTTTCTGATGATCTGTGGTTCCAAGGCTTCTGAATGTCAAAACTGTTGTATTTTCAGCTGATCAATAGTTAAGCCTCATCTTCATAAGTACTTTATGCTGTTTGTAATGCGTACTGTTATGCTTTCTGATTTTTCTGTGAGGACGACTATATAATAACAGCCTTCACCTCGGGCAGTGACTCACAACAGTAATGACATTTAAAAGAATTGGGGAAAAGACAAGTTCATCTGACTTTTTATTTGGATATGTTGTTTGGTAAAGTTAACCACTTTAATTGTCAAAGTGAAAGGCTGTAACACCGCAGCACTGTGGGGAGTTAGAAGCCATGCGAATGACCGACAGTAACCTCCTCTGTTTCCTCTTTCCACCCCTCCCTCTCCCACTGTCCCCCATAGGGCACTGTGGAAAGGACTCTTCTTATTCTCTAATCACCGTCTTCATGATATCAACTCATTATAGCTTCCACCCAGTCAGTTGCAGAGGTTTTTGCCATTGAGGCTTGTTAGGCGAGCAGGTTCTCCATCAGAGCAGGGATCTTGACTGACTGTGGTGTTGGACTTGATTGCTGAAATGAATGGCCAATAAATGAGACGTCAACTTTAGAGGTAAGGTCAGTCCAACACTGTCATTCGCCCAGCTAGATTTTTCTAAACTTTAAATTACAATGTGATTTTCTCATTTTTATTTTGGCTAATATAATGGAGTAAATCTGCCATGAGGTGTCATTTCTTGGAGACATGAGCATTAATAGATATTTTGTAATTTTTTGTAATTTATTGTATAATTTTGTTCTGATTAGTGGAAAAGTTCAGTAAATTTATCATGAATGAATGTATCATCATCATGTCACAGTGAAGAAGAAATTTATGGCAGCTGACACAGACTCAGCATACAATAATTATAATGTAATTTCACACAGTTAAAAGTGTTCATCGGTCATGATCATGTCCATAAAATGCACTATACTCATCATCTTTTGCATTTTTATTTGCTGCCTTTCTGTTGTGTGTCCTCCTTTTTTATAACAGGTATGTTTATGTGCTAGTGACATGTAGTCAAGATATGGAGCTGTTTTTTTGGGCCTAGAACAATATTTTCAGTTTCTTTGTGTTGCATTTCTCTTTTAATTTCTTCATGGTAATGAAAATTATACATAGTTTTAATAAAATGACATTGTGATCAGAGGAAGCTGCATGGTTCATGGTTTTGTGTAGTGATTGTAACCTGTAAATTTTAAAACTAAAATGTACTGTCAATGTTTTGTGCTGTGTGAAAACCTCCGTACAAAATGCCTTAATTACAATACACAATACATTCAGTTTGAGCAGAGATATTGATTTTTGTACTTGATAACGATCAACCTTAGTAAAGAGTACTATAATCAATGAGAAAAATATAAAGACTTACTGTATTTAGGATGTCAATGTAGAAAAGTCCCACACTGTTAAATATTGAATTCAGAGAATTACAAATGCTATATCTAATGATTGAAGACAAAGTAGAACATCTGGGTTTTCTCAATTCACAGGGATTACAGTTGCCCCCAAAAAATCATGTGTCATTGTTTGCTGAATCAAGTTCCTGAAATGCACATGACAAACTTTCATTTCTGCTTTGGCTGCCATTTGGTTCACTTTGCGTTGCACATGATGTGGTTATTTTTTATCAATGGTCTAAAATAATATTTTCTAGGAACTGCAATATACAGTGCAAAAATTTCAATGTATTGTCGTCAACAAGACATCTATGTTTTAATCTGATCCCTAATCCATATATAGTAATGGTGTTGTACTATTGACTTGTGTCAGTGTAAAACTATTCTATATGGAGAGAGGGAAGCAAGCATTAGATTTCTTTAGGAGACTTGTTTTTTTCTTTTTCCCTTTTTATAACACTGCACCGTGTCCTGATTGACTCCTTTGTCTTGACAGGTACATGTTGATGTCGTAATGACAAGCTGTTGTGCAGAAGATGTCCACGCTGTCTGTGACTGATATCTCTGATGTTGGTCATGGTAAGAGCAGTCTCTTTTACCCATATTAGCCAACATGCTCTAACCTGCTCTCAAGTTAGCTTATTTTATTTTTGTGTAAGTAGAAGGCACATCAACTGCTGTCTGTATTTTAATGGGTGTGAAATGCTAAACAATTGGGGCAGACACTAGTTGAAAACACGCATCACATCACTGACTGTTAAGATGATACATTTGTGAAATAAATTTTCTTTTATGCAGTGTTTGGCAGAGGGAGCAGTCTTAATACATTTATTATGTTCCTAAATGCCATGTTTACAAATATTTTGTTACAAAAAATACCAACAAATATACATGTTAAATATAAATATAAAGGCCAGTTATTTTGCCTCTAAGCTGTTTCATCTTTTATATATGTTTATATTCATATTGTGAAAAAAACATATCTTGTAAATAACAATAGAAAAATACATTTAAAAAATAACTTTTTTGACAAACACTGTGTGATGCTAAAGGTAGACTAGTCAATGACTAAGATGTTTTTTCTCCTCTATGAAAAGAGAGTAAAGTGTTTGAAGGGAGCTCTGAGCTGCAGCTGGACTGCATGGTTGAGGAGAGCAGTGGAAGCTCCACAGTGAAGTCTAGTGGTCTGCTGTCACTTGCTGACTTCTCCCACTCCAATGTCTTTCACACTGGCCCTCGCAACGGGTCTTCACCACCCGAGATGAGCAGCTCTCTGCCGGTGGAGCAGCGTGACATCAAGCTGGATCCAGCTGTAGTTGACACGTCTGCCAGCACAGGTGAAAACAACATCACATTAAAAAAAGCAGTAATGCATGATTTTATTATATAAGGATCTGTTTTGCATTTCAGGATGCAATTGCTTTCACAAATCTAAACACAAATCAAAACGTATGTCTGTTTCTGGTAATGTCACTGAATATAAAATATTCAGCAGCTACTGTACCTTCTTTAAAACTGACCTTAGATACACAAGTTGGACCAGACAACCATTATAAGGATGGTTTTGATATGATTTGGTCAGGATCATATGTTTTTATTTTAGCTTGTTGTTTTACCTCAATCTCTGTTTCTTCAATAAAATTTTAAACCATAGATAAGCTAATAGAGTTTAAATTTTTTTTTTCATTTCACAGATGGTCATCCAGTGAAGAGAAAGAAAGGGCCGGCACCCAAGATGCTGGGCAATGAGGTGTGCAGTGTGTGTGGTGACAAGGCCTCGGGTTTCCACTACAATGTTCTGAGCTGTGAAGGCTGCAAGGGATTCTTTCGACGCAGCGTCATCAAAGGTGCAAAGTACAGCTGCAAAAACAATGGGCGCTGCGAGATGGACATGTACATGCGCCGCAAGTGTCAGCAGTGCCGCCTCCGCAAGTGTCGCGAGGCAGGCATGCTAGAGCAGTGTGAGTTTATTAATCTCTAATGCTTAAGAAACAAATTTGACGTTTGTCACACACAGAAGCCCTGACCTTTATGTGCCTTAGTCATGATGTTCTGTAACTTGGTAATAGGTGTGCTCTCGGAGGAACAAATAAGGACAAAGAAGATGAAAAAGCAGGAGGAGGAGACGGCACGCACCTCCACGGTTGTCACCCCCACGCTGCCACAGGAAACGGCCTCACTAGATCCTCAGCAGCAGGAGATGATAGAGAAGCTGGTGGCCATGCAGAAGCAATGCAACAAAAGGTCTTTCCTTGACCGACCAAAAGTGACAGTAAGTCAATAACTAAAATCTTGAAAAAACCTGGAACATTATTGACCAATTTGTTGAAAAAAATTGAAATGCTCAAGTTATCATTGAAAATATGTTCTACTCACTGCAAGGAATGCCAATCTGTTATGTTATAGTTATAGTTATGCACACACATGGGTGTTTTCCCTTTGTTTTTGATGGACAATAAAGCACATTGCCTTTCTGCATCCAGCTGGCTCAGCACCCCATGTGATGCTACCAGCTAATCAATTTTGAACTTTTCTTCAGAGCAGCTTAAGTTTACATTTGACTTTATAGCTACAGTTTTTAGTGACCTTTTAGACCCCGTTTAGGACTGAGCATCTAGCAGCAGATGTAATGACATTCCAAACAGTGGTGATACTGGTCTGTGATTTAGACTGTGTAGTCAAACAGTGTCATTAACACATTTTGAGTAGTTTCCAGAAAAAATGTGGGAACCCTGAAGTTGGTAGGGTTAAGTATTGATTCAGTTTCATTAGGGAACATTTATTCAGTGTTCAAATTAAAATCCTTCCTATTTGTCACCTTTGTGCATTCATCAAGCCTTGGCCACAGAGTCAGGACCCGCAGAACAGAGAAGTGCGTCAGCAGCGATTTGCTCACTTTACTGAGCTGGCCATCATGTCCGTTCAGGAGATTGTGGATTTCGCTAAGCAGCTTCCTGGTTTCCTGGAGCTCACCAGGGAGGATCAAATCGCTCTGCTGAAGACTTCCACCATTGAGGTTAGTTGTGATCAATAGAGATTCACTGATACTCAGTTTTCAGCTTTAAGCTTTCAGCATGGTGTCCTGCAGTTGTTAAATACAGAGGTTAAGTTTTAAAAGAAGATATCATCATCAAAATCTGTGATTTAAACTTCAACTTTATTTTTGAGCAAATATTAAGTCATCTTTTGTCTTTTCTAGATTATGCTGCTTGAGACATCTCGAAGGTACAACCCAGCAATTGATAGCATCACATTTTTGAAAGATTTCAGCTACAACAAGGAGGATTTTGCCAAAGCAGGTGCATATTTTTAAATGGTTATGAAATGATTTAGTACAACATGAATATAAGCTGTTTTCAGTTCCTTTGGATTTGCTTTTTAAACATATTTATAGAGTTAGCTAATTTATTTTTTTTTACTTATACAAAATAAACTTTTTCTCATAATGCAATAAAAATGGTTAAAATTGTTTTCATAATAGAATGTAGCATTCATTGTTGCATAACTGCTTCACATCTCTCTCTCTTTTTTTCTCTCTCTCTCTCTCTCTCACCCTCAGGGCTTCAGTTTGAGTTCATTAACCCCATCTTTGAGTTTTCAAAAGGAATGAATGACCTGCAGTTGGATGAGGCCGAATACGCTCTGCTCATTGCTATTAACATCTTCTCTGCAGGTCAGAATTTGAGAATTATTTATGTCCTTATAATTGGATGTTTTTCTACATGTTTTAAAATCAGTGTATATGTATGTGTGTGTTATTTTGTTTGTTTGTTTGTTTTTGGAAAGATCGCCCAAATGTTCAAGATCATGATCTGGTAGAAAGGCTGCAGCAACCATACGTGGACGCTCTGCGCTCTTACATCATGATCAAGAGACCAAATGTAAGTGCAGAGTGGTTTTTGTAGCCTCCTGTCATGTGACCAACACTATGTCAGCATAACCTATCCTCACAACAAGCACGTTGGCCCAGAGTGGTTGTGAAAAGACATGGCTTTACTCAGTAACACTGTTTTTTAGTTTATTATTTTGCTTTTTAGACAGGTCAGTCAGTGTGCTGCCTCTTAATAAAAACGCATAGCACTATAGTGCTGAATACACTAATGTGTCCTCTCTGGGTTTGTTAATTTGTTTAATTGAAACATTTAAATGGTGCAATTTTGTTGTAAAAGCTTAGCTTTCTTTTTATTCATCTTACTCCATCTAATAACTTAAGATATGTTTTTTCTTTCTTTTTTTGTAAAGTGATCTAACCTTTGTTGCATTAACCTCCTCAGGATCATCTGATGTTTCCTCGTATGCTGATGAAACTGGTCAGTCTTCGTACATTAAGCAGCGTCCACTCCGAACAGGTCTTTGCTCTTCGACTCCAGGACAAAAAACTTCCACCCCTACTTTCTGAAATCTGGGATGTCAATGAATGACTGTAAATTTGATGATGTACTCTTTGGCTTTATGACATCATCATTGAAGGACACCATATCCAATTGGAAAACTGACATCTCCCTGTTCGTCGGGTCAGAGGCTGGTTGGTCGTTGCTCTTTACTTCGGGACTGAGTGGTTTTGTGTTCATTAAGTGGAGACTTAAACACCAAGTTTTCTTTGAGCCTTTTTTTATTCCTTTGTTTAGATGCTTACATGATTGTGGCGAAATTGAATACCAGCATCTTAACTCTTAAGCATTCATCTTTGATTTAAGGTTTTTTTTTTTTAATAATGTCCATCTCATGCACAGTTCCTGCATATTCTAGTTGAGGTGGGGTGAAATGAGTGGAATGAATCCACGTAACAGGTGAAATTGGAATTCAGATAGAACGGTTCATGTCTGCTCCTCACCTTATTAATATCTGAGTACAATTGTAAGACATCAGAATGGTTTTGTTTATTGGGACATGGAATAGTACGTAATTTCTTTTGACGAAAGTCAAGAAATCATTTTGTGTAGATGCTCAGGTAAAGAAATGTGATGTAGACATCTAGGACTCAGTGGCTTCTTTAATTTAGATGACTAAAGTTTTCTTCTACTGCATTATGTTCCCTTTGTTTTGTTTTTTTAGTTAATATCAATACATTTTTACACGTAATTGTATATTTATTTCATGAAGAAAACCAGTAAGTGAATACCCTTGGAGATAAATCCAACAGATTGTACAATCACATACTAACATATTAAAAGTAAAATTGTTGATAGGCTTTATCTTTATTTACCAGAAATTATGATTTCAGCTAATTGTCTTTGTGACCTTTTGCCTACTGAATAAACTAATACTTAACCATGGCTTCATTGCCATGAGGTTTAAATAATTGCATTACAGGATTTATTTCAGGCATTAAAAGTGTGAGAAATGTGTAAGAACAGATGGAGACAATTTGTTTTACTTTGAGAACCTTATTAATTTTACTTGAAAACGTACTATACTTGCACAGACATCAGGAACGAACTGATTGTCTGATCGGAGTAAAGAAAAATATTAAATACAATAATTTTGAGAAGTAACTGCAGAGATCTTGCAGTGTTCTGCCTGTGATTCTATGCAGTGGTAAACTTAAAAGGCTGTAGAATGATTAATAGAGATATGATGATTAGGAAATCCCAGTTATATAATTTCACACTCTTATTGTACAAGGTTCACTAATAGGAAAAAAAAATCACCAGATCATGGCCTTACATTAATCCAATATAGACATGAATGACCACAAACTGCACTTGAATGTTTCTTTTAACCGTATTTGTCACCTAAATAGAACATTGTTAATTTAATTAATTTTTATGCATGTTAACATTTGATATAATCTTATTCATGAAAAAGATGGAAATAAATTGAACTTAGGTTTAAAGACAAGGTTTGATTTGATTTATTCTTGTCCCTAAGTACCTTGTGATGGATATATGGAAGTTAAAACTTGACTAACCTATGTTTTGTTACTGATTTTACCAACATGTATGTTTTACATAGATATTGTTTTAGGTTAAATTACCAAAAGTGGTCAGATCTTGTTTTCTAAGAATATAAATTTAGACTTTTGTCTGCAGCAAAGTGGAGAGTTAGTATGCATAAAACCCAGGTTTAAAGGCTTAAAGGGACTGCTGTATGACTTGACACATCTTCAAAAAGTTAATTGTGTGTCTTTTGTTAAAAGCATGAATAGATATTTTATTTCTTGACATCAATGGGGACAGAACAACAGAGGTCAACTTTGTCCTGGTGACTTTTGATCATGGATTTTATCATGGATTTTGCCTCTCAAAGATTGAATTATGTTTTTGAGATCACTTTTCTACACCCCTCTAATTCTTAAAAGGATGTTTAGATTTATTTTAAACAGATAATCAGAGATTAACAATGTGCAGCACTTTAAAACCATGCAAGTGATTTATTTAATATATCCCTGCTACCAATACTGTCTTGTGCTACACTCTCTTCAAGTGAGCAAACTTAAGTAATAGACTGTTCTGTTTTCTTTTTTTTGTTATTGTTTTGCAGTTGATGTACATTTAACTCTGTAGGTCCATGTTGATTGTATGCTGTACATAGTGTAATTGTGTAATCTGATCTAATTTAATATTTTCATCAAAGGTTGACACTGTAAACTATTGGTTATACAGAAATGCAGAACTATTTTAGTACATGTAATTCCTGAAGACCTTCTGTTTTTTATGTATAGTATAAATTAAAGCTATACTGTAGTGCTAACTTGCTTGAAAGCAGACTTGATTTGTTGTTTTGACTTCACATTTAGCATTTTTTTTTAATTCTATTTCCTTCCTGTAAGCAACTTAATGTTGAACCCGGCCCACTTAATGTGTAGACCCTGCTAAACAATCCTCATCTCCAGCAACACCTGTAGTGGTGACAGGCAGTGTGCAAGCTATGTTTATATAGAGAAAAATAAAATTATGCTTACTTGAGGTCCAATGTATATGATTTAGGAAACATAAGTTTACATCAATTCATGATTTATTATATATATTGTAGTCACCATGAGGGGAGCTGCAGCCAATCCCAGCCATTACAGGGTGAGGGCTGTGCACATCAGCCAGTTCGCCAATCCATTGCAAGGACAAACTCACATACCTCAATATGTCAGTGTGTCTTACCTTCTCCCTAATCCGTATGGTTTTGAGTTTTGAGAAAACCGTGTACTGTACCTAGAGAAAATGTACACAGCAGGAGAACACGCAGAGGTCATTCAGGAGTACCATTAATTCTATTAATCTTTATTAAGCCCACAGCAGACACACATACTACGTTACTACATTGTTACTGTGTTTTAATGATTTAGAGCTACATAAATTATATGCCTATAAAATTACGTTGATTTACAACATAGAACATAACCACTAGATGGTGCCCATTCACACACAATGTACCTTTAACTTTGTTGTATTAACAGCAACCCTGTAAGGTTCATGGTGCTATAAAACGATATGGAAGTGTTGTAGGACAATACAGTCCTTGTTCATACATAACCAAAAATGACGTGTGAGTTGCCCGACCGAAGAAGAGAGCGCAGTGAATACGCTTTCTTCGTTCTTTCTCGTTGCTTCCGTTTTCTACGTACAGTTCTGCGAGTAGGCGGAAGTCCATTTGGACTGACGATGCTGTTGAAGTGGATGTTGTGAAGGAAGCAGGTTCATACTGAGTGAGCGACTCGATTCCTGGAGGAGGAGGCGGATACTGAATACGCATCATTAAAAATGCTGCCAGTCAGTTAGACTAAGCAGCTTGTCTCCCTAGGTATCCAATGATACACTGCTGTCTAAAGACAAAACTACCGAATTCAGACGCTTTTTCTTTTCCCCTCTGTGACCAAGGAGGATCCCTTACAGACAGGCCGTCATTAGTGCTGGCTTCCGAACGAACATTAGCTGCTAAGCTGCTATCGTAAAAAGGTAAGTTCTCTTAAATTTACAACACGTATATTATTCGAAACCATCTACTGCAATCAAGCCATGTGATTTAAATCGAGTTTTCACTGTCGTCGTGGTTTGTTACACGAGAATAAATGTACATATTTGAGAGAACAATCGGTTAAGCTAATGCTAGCGGCTAGTTGGCTAATGACTAGTGGCGTACCATCCGCAGTACTTAGAGGGGGGGTGAGAGGATGCATCCTTGAGGATGACCGACGAGGACGAGCTAAGGCTTCGTTAAATGTCAATAAAATCAGAAAGAAAATAGTTTAAGGTGTTACTAAGAGCATATATTATGTCTGCTTCATCTATTTTACTGTTAATATCCATTAGACCGTTCTCCAATGGGAACAATTATGTGTATGTAAGTGACACCCACTCTTGAAATGTCATTGAGGCCTCAGCCCCTACCAGCTTCCATAGCATCGTTGATGTTACAAGTCGTGACATGTAAAACCCCAGTCTAAATTACGCAAACAGTAGATTTAAAAAATATATATGTTACTAATGTGTACATGAGGCTAATGTCTTACAAATGTTTTCAGAGCAGTGGTGTGTAAAATGTGTGAAGATTTATTTTAAAAAGTTAGTAGTTCTGTTTTTAAATCTTAAGCCTTCCAGTAATTTTATGTAATACACAATGAGCTAAGCTTCCTTCCCTTTACTTAACATCCATCCTGTTCCTTTGACATGGCAGCTACGTGATGTTGCTCCATCCAACCGCAGTTAGCAGTGTAATCTCATAGTAGAACAGATAGAAAATAGCACATGAGAACGGCAGACTGACATTTTCCAAGTCCTTCAATTTTAGTACATTTGAACCTTTTTTTCCTAGAGAAATAGTGTAGTTGTTCACTTTGAAATGCTGCGACTAGAATACTGACACATCTTTAAATCGTAATCTCATAGATCCTAGAATTAAAAGGAAATTATAGTACTGCACTGTCACTGTCAAATGAAACTGAAGCTGTTCACTTTATTATTATTATCTCCTGAGATCAGATTCAGAGAAAATAGAGGTTGAACAGACAACCCTAAGACCTTGTCTACTCACCTCTACTTGATACTTGATAAAGTACACTATAGTACACTATAGTTAGATATTCTGTATTTTTATTTACTAAATAAAACGTGATGAAAAACAAGTTTGCCACAAATAATGTGTTTATGCTGTTATTAAGTGAATATAACTTTCTAGTTGCAGTTCTCTCTATGTTTCTGTCTGCCTTTGCCTCCGCTGCCTCTATCTTTTTCTATCTTTTGTTACTCTCCCTCTTTCTTGTTTTCTCTCTTTTGGTGTGTCTGTTCATCTGTCTCCGTTCTCTCTTACTCTAAAAGTGTCTTTCTCTCTGCCTCTCTGTGACTGTGATTGGTAGGAACAGCTTTCCATATTAGAGATATATAAATCATAACTATCTCCTCTCTGCTTACATAACCAATCCGTGCCATCTGTGAAACAAACCAAGCAAGTATGTCTACTTTGTCAACCTGCAAATTATTCTATTTTTTGATGATGACACACTAGTACAGTGGATAATTGTTAATTATTCAGCTCAGTCTTTCAAACCAACTGATAAAGACGTTTTTACATTATGTGAAATTAATGCTTTGGCCCTGCTACGCAATGGACCCTTTCATTTTAGTTGTTTACTAATGAGCACAGATTTTGTTTTGAGTCATAAAACTGTTGTGAAATAAAGGGATTTATTGGTCCCATAATAGGTGGTAAAAATGAAGGTTGTTGGCTAAATGTGAGGCATATCTTTGTTGAATTGTACAATGCATTAGAAAAACAGTTTGTCCTTGGTGCTTGCACTGATGCCTATTAACTACCGTAATTTCCAGACTTTAAGCCGCTACTTTTCACATGCTTTGAACCCTGTGGCTTAAAGAATGATGCGGCTAATTCATACTGCTAGCGATCAATTACTTTTCTGGTAGGCTACTGTTTGTTATACTAGTAGCGTATGTTTGTCTGAAAGTTGGGAGCACTTCGAGCTCTGTCATGTTGAAGCATGAGTTGGTTACACAGGAGCTGTTTAAACCCTGTTTATATACTGTTGTGCTCGGTGTGGCTAATAAAGACCCCAACTTCCCTGTATCTCTGCTGCGGACAAGCACAAAGTATAGGGAGTTAGCTCTAGAGCTAATGAAAGAAATTATTATGCCATTTATTAGTACCTTTGCATTTATGGCTACGGCTGTGTACTAAACCTCAATAAAATCAAGGCACTGCAACTGCATAAATTATTGTTGTTTTAACGAATAAAACATTACAAAATTATGAATGTATTTATTTAGCACAGTCCAACAATGCACAAAATAAAATTCTAAATAAAATGTTAAACCTTACCAACTTATGTGCATTAAATGATAATGTACAGGCCTACTGGCCTGCTGAAAGATTGTAAAATTAAATATGTTCTCTCATAAAAACACAAAGTGCGTTTAAGTCATTTGCTGAATAATTTCTTGTGCTGCCATATTCCCGCATCCAAGTAATGATCTTTATAATTAATTAAGTAGTCGCGATGAAGTGCAGAGGATCCGAATAGATCTCAGGCACAGGTGCAGAGTCAGTCTTGTTGACTGCCTTACAGTCTGAGTTATGTTTGAACTTCTTTAGTTAGCTGCTCAAACGGGGCAAGAAGAGAGTTTTCTGTTAAGACCCATTAGTGTGAAGTGAATATCGCTGGGAGCTACTGGTTTGTGCTGTATGCAGCCAAGATTCACTTTTGGACAAAGAGGCTTTCCTTCCTCTTATGTTCGGCTTAGCGATTGGGATGTTAGAATTTCAGGTGATAATTTAAACCGACGTGGAGAAATTCCTTGCAGATGCACCCCCCCCTTAAAATTTTTAAATATCAGCATTCTCGTTTTGCAAACGCTATCCGTAGGTTTTTCTCAGATATGTTGAAATTTGTCAACACTGTAAACATGTTGGCACTTTCAGACAAGCCCGGGCTGGCCGCGGTTTTTGCTTGTGTCATCATAACTTCCTGTTTTTGGCTGTTTTGTTTAGGTGATAAAAGACTTTTCAGTGTCCGAATATTCCCTAATATATATATATATTTATACATATATGCACAACTATAACTTGTGCCACATCTCATTAAAAACAGTTTTCAGTGTTGTTTGTTTTTATGTTTTATGATAGTAAGAAGTAATTTTTGAAATCACAAGTAGGTCAGTAATAGTAAGCTGCAGGTCTCCTTCCTCTGAGGCTAAACATTTTTTTAGAATGTATAACTGGCTACTGACTAAATTAATTACCTTATCAAAGCAGAGATAACATTACTAAAGACGCAAGACACAACAACTCCAGAGTCTGACGTGTTTGTGTTTCAGGGTGTAGTCCCCTCTAGTACATTAACATCATGTGGCATTTGTCTGTGGAGATGTGTAGGCAAGACAGTCTGGTCTAAGTAGATCCGGTTGTTTGAGACCTTCTGTCATGTTAGACGTACTTTATTAACTTTTTTTATGTTTTATTTTAAAATAGACTATAGAAATATGTTCAGAGACAGAAGTGATGCTTTATTGTTTGACCTTCTCACAAGCTTCATGTTCTTGATTGCAAGATACATTCTTTAAAAATCATGTTGATGCTCCTGAAGTACTATTATTAATAGTACTAACGGCAGTATTTACTAACATTCTTAAGTGAATTGGGTGAATCCTCTCCTGAATTCTCACCTATTTTTATAGTGTAGTTGTAGTGATTTTATGCCCTGCACATGATCTTTTAGGCAAGCTAATCCTGATATGTTCATTACATATGTATTCTATACATACTGTATTTGTTTACTGGCTTACATGAGATTACCTTTATTAATGATCAATGGTTTATTTCTCGCAGGCTGCTGTTTAAGCCCTTCCTCCCTTGCAGTGGTTGTTGCAAAAGCAGCTCATTTGTTCTGGTGCCTTGATGAAGAAAGACTTTAAGCAGATATATCCATGGTCTTATGAAGTTATCACTTTCGACCACTACTGCTAATAATATCTAAATGTGTTTACTTGGTGTTATAATCACTTTTACAAAAAGACTTATGACTAAGCATGTGGTGTACCAAAACAATTTGAACAGGGGATTTGTGTTAGTCAAAAATTATCATAGATCTTTATACAATACATTATGTCAGGAACAGTTCATATAAAATACAGAGATCTTCTTGTGCTCAATTCAGGCCTCGTATTTTGCTTCTGGCAAATGACGTAGCCAGATATGTAAGATTTTTTTTTTTTTATCAGCATTTTATTTAGATCAATCAATAGCCAAAAAGAGTAGTAATAAAATAAATAATAAGACCTTATTAATTGAAAAGGGTCCGATTTTTATTGGCTTTAAATTGCTGCTTTTTTTCCGCAAGATATAGATGATGCTGTGGCACTGGAGACTAAGGGCTCTTTAACCGCTGTGATAAATTAATTAATTTAGTCTGTGCTTTAGTGACATTTGTGTAATTTTATTTTGTCACTGAGCCTTCATGCTTAATGTAACTTAAAACGTCTCAGGCACCTCAACATGGAACAGACAAAATGGCATCAGAGTGTCTAGTTTTTTTCCCCTTTTTTTCTGCCCAGTTGTAGGTACTATGCACTCACTGCCTCCATTATTTATTATTGCTGGTTTTCATTAACAGTTTGTTGTTCAAAGGGTATAAAATTAACCAATGTAACCAACCAATGTCTGCTTAACCAATCTGTTTAAAGTGTGCTTAAACGTATTTTACAAACAATTTACACAACATAAGGTTTCAGACCCTTGTCTGTAAGGAAAATATACAGACAAGAGCAGAGGGTTTTATGTGGTGTTTTATGTGTATGTTACAGGTTGTGTGTTATAATTCCTGAACCAACACCATGACAACCATGGAGCTTCATCTCAACTTAATTGCTCAACTTTTACAATTGTGATCCAAGAGAAAACATATCCTTGATGCCGTGACATACGGGACAGACTCAGTCCAAGATGGAGAAAAAGAAAATGTGCCCTCGCCTTCTGGACTACTTGGTAGTTGTTGGAGCAAGGTAATATTGCTCTTTTAAGTCCTATTTTGTATTAAGTCCTATTTTGAGTTTTCAGTATTGTATTGAAAACTCGGGTTGTCCAGCATCCATCTATTCAATCTAGACTCACTCTGTGTCCTCGGACATATCAAGACTAAATTGGGAACTATAACATAATCACAAATATAATTTCCCATAGCTTTTTTTTATTATGAATTATGCTTTTTTAAAGGAAAATTATTTTAAAATGAAATAAGATTGTTTACTAATTTTTGGTTCCTTTTATAGGGACTTTTTTTCCTTTCAGTATAATATTATACAGTAAGTTTAAACCTGGTTTTTATGTAAAGGATTTTTTCTTCAAATATCCAATAAATGTTACATATTGTGACATCCTGTGACTCCAGTGTCTAAAGCATATGACTCACACAATAACAAAATGCCCCTCAATCCCCTCAGGATTCACTTCTGTGATCTTTCTGTTTGAACTTCTTTGTTTTTTCTAAGCTCAGCTGTTCTGAATGTTTTTACCTAACAGACAAACTTTTTTCTTTCTTTCTTTCTCCAGGCAACCAAGCAGTGACAGTGTGGCCCAGACACCTCAACTCCTCCGTCGTTACCCACTGGAAGACCACCATGACTTCCCACTCCCACCGGATGTGGTATTTTTTTGCCAACCAGAGGGCTGTCTGAGCATACGCCAACGGCGAGTAAGCCTTCGAGATGACTCCTCGTTTGTTTTCACCCTGACCGACAAGGATTCAGGAACCACACGCTATGGAATCTGCATCAACTTTTACCGCTCCTTTCAACGGGGACATCACCGTCCCCGTGGCGACAAGACCAGTCACACAGAAACAACAGTCCAGGCAGCAGAGACAGCAAGCGAAGGGTCTGATTGCAGTGGTAGTGTTGGCCAATCTTCCGAGATACCTACAGTCAACAATACTGACTCTGCACTTCTGCCTGCCTCTGGAGCAGAAAGCGAACAATCTGGTTCTGAACTAAATGCTGGAAAGTCCCCGCAGCAGAGACGAAATGCTGCAAAAATTGCAGCCAAGAATCGAAATAGCACATTAACCTCACTCTGCATACTCAGCCATTACCCTTTCTTCTCCACCTTCAGAGAATGCTTGTATATTTTGAAGAGGCTAGTAGACTGCTGCAGTCAGAGGCTCACACAACGTGCTGGACTCCCTCGCGCCACTCAGAGGTAAGATCTATTATTGCATGCATGCATATTCTCTGCTTAACACAATGCTCTGAAGCTGATGTTCAAAAACGGAACATTTCTAATTCTAAATGATACGTGTGATCAAAAAGTCTTTCCACCATCCTTAAGAACAAGTCCAGTATTATCTCATTGGTCGACCTTAGATACGTGGCGAGGTTCACACACTGTATCATTACCAACACGTGCTATTATTTAAAGTAATTGCTCCACCATTATAAGAAATGAATCAATAAATCGCTGCATAAACAACTACATATTTTATTTTGTTGCTGAAATTCAATTGTTGCACTGCCTTTGGATTATTCTGTTGCTATGGGTGACTCCACAGTTTGCAGCTCTGATGCAACAGTGTGTTGATAAGGCTGTCACGTCCAACTAGTTTTTCATGATGATCGATGATGAAAGCATTTCCCTATTTGCTGATTGCAAGTTTTTCTGGCATTTACATTTGCATTGTCATTGACTAAAAAGCCTTAACAAATAATTACTTTACTTAATTACTAACCATTATCAATCTTCTCTGCTCTTTTTCCAATGAAATAGCAGTACAATTTAATTTCTAGATGCAATTTTTGGCTACCCATATTTTTACTATGGTCAGATTTGGGGCAACAAACTAACTGCCTGTGGTACCTTATACACTACCTTAATACTGGACAGTTAATGCTTCTCATGTTTAATTGACTGACACAGAGGGATGTAAGAAATTAGATTTTCAATTATATATTTTTTCTTTTGTTGTTTTGCGGTTGCCCTTCAATTAGTTTAATTATATTGAATTTTATTTTTATTGAATTTTAGAAATTTAGATCCTAATGTCTCTGTCTGTTGGAGAAAAAGCACAAAAATATAGAGTAAAACAATACATTTTTACATCTAAGCTATATTTTTCCCATTGCAGGGACACAATGTGGCGAGTTTTCACTGGTGCGTTGTCAATTGACGAGAAAGGAAGTCAGCTGTTGGCAGACCTGAAGGAGATTGAGTCCTGGGTGTACAGGTTACTGAGGTCACCAGTACCAGTGGCCGGTCAAAGACGTGTAGATGTGGAAGTATTGCCACAGGAGCTAAAAAGGCCCCTCACCTTTGCATTACCAGACAACTCCAGATTCTCCATGGTGGACTTTCCTCTGCACCTACCTTTAGAGCTGTTGGGTGTGGACGCCTGTCTCCAGGTTCTGAGCTGTATCCTTTTAGAACATAAGGTGAGAGACCTTTTTATTGTGCCGTCTAGTTGGGTCTTATTAGCAGACAACTTATCCTTTCCATTAGAGATCACCAAAGAGATTGTCTGCTTCAAGGAGGAAGGGGAATCAAATATTATGTTTTAATATAAATAATATCAGACATTCTCTACCCGATGTGGGCTGACTGATGTAATACAGAAAGAACAGACAGGTTAAAAAACAGACATTAGACTAGGACATGGAGGCTAAGAAAACACACTGTCTCTTTATATCTTTGCTCTCTCTTCCTCTCACTTATCACTCATCCTGAACACAAGACTCATGACCCATGATATGACGAACATCTTGCATAACCAGTATTGGTGTTGTGTTCTCACAGTCCTCTAGTTTTACATTGACTCATTTACAACAGTTTAAAATCAACCATTAGTTAATCAATGTCAACAATGAAGCTCAAAATTCATAGTGCTTGATAAATACAGACTCTTATTGGCCTTGTCTTTCTCTTTGTCAAGTGCTCTTGTGTTTCTTTTCATGCAACCGTATCAATTAAAGAGTTTTTTTCCTAAATCACATTCATGTTTTTTTTTTCTTTCTTGAGAGCATTGGCACAGTATAATTATATGTATACCTACCGACAGTTTCCAGAAGAGTCTATTGAAAAAAAAAAACTAATGAGGCATTTATGTACATGAGTACATTCGGTCAATGTTAAAAATGAAAACATTTGTTCCAGCTTCTGAGTTATCAACCAAACTCAAGAGAAAGCTGAGCAGAGAACAGCACTTAGGACGCTCTCCTTTAAATTCTGTTTGTAAATTAGGGAAAATAAATTTGTTTAGATATACTAATTGATGTGCTGGGAATTTAGTGAGAACAATTATCTTAACATGTCTAATTTTCAACCCTTTTTAGGTTATTCTTCAGTCCAGAGATTACAATGCTTTGTCTATGAGTGTTATGGCATTTGTGGCCATGATCTACCCTCTGGAGTACATGTTCCCTGTCATTCCTTTGCTGCCAACATGCATGACTTCTGCTGAGCAGGTATGCTTTTGTCCTCTTATACCCGTTGCCTGCAGAGGTATTGTCAAACTAGTGATGCACTGATCCAACTTTATTAGTTCCTGTTACAATTCTTGGGTTTTGCAAATTGGTGGCTACTATTCCAGCCATTGTTAAATTAATAAACTCATTATTATTTTAAAGTTTAAAGTCATTGTAGACCAGCAGTGGCTATTCAATTTCTATATTACCATTAAACAAAAACATGAAATCAATATTCACTGCCTAATATAACATCTTAAACAGATAATTAACAGAGAATCTCAACCAGCTTGAGCAGAAATACAAAATGATGAAGAATTAAAACACATCAGGTCCAAATTTGAAAATTAAGTCAATATCGGAACAGGTATCCAATGTTAATTTTAAATCATTGAGTGATCCGTCCGAATGCTGACTCACTGGCATATTGTTTTCTCTCCTTAGCTCCTTCTTGCTCCCACTCCATACATTATAGGTGTACCAGCCAGTTTCTTCCTCTACAAGTCTGATTTCAAAATGCCAGATGACATTTGGCTTGTGGATCTTGACAGCAGCAAGGTCAGTTGATGAGCCCAATCTCTATGTTTTCAAGGTCTTGTCTCTAATGTCTTTTTAATGCCACATAATGGTTTCTAACAAAAGAAAATTTAAGAACACATGTTTAAACATTTGTCATTGGATTGCAGGTGATAGCACCCACCAATGCAGAGCTGCTACCACCACTGCCAGAGCCCGAATCAGTAGAACTTAAGAAACATCTTAAACAGGTACTGTTGTTAAGTGTTTTTCTAGGGTGAATTAGTAGTCTAGACTTGATTACTGTGACTTTTTCAGATGTTTTTGGAGTGGGACCAAAGGCACATGAGAACACTCAACTTATAATTGCTCTTTGTTCTTTTGTCTGATTAATATTATATAGCAATGCAAAACGTCTTTTTCAGCAGTTAAGAACTAAGCGTTTCCTTCTTCCCCAGTACAGTTGTATGTATTACACATGACAGTGCGAGCATTTGAAGTGGGTGAACGTGTAATTCACTAACATTTCTTAACATGTTCTTTTTGTTTGTTTGTTTTCCTTTGCATGCTTTAGCTCTTGCAGGTAAAGGGTGATTCTAGGATCCTGCCCCATTAAACAAAAGCCCTTAGTATTGTACTCACCAAGCTAACCTGATTAGTAAAAGGGACCTGTTATGCATTCTCATATTTACTGTCATCCCCTGATAATCTGTGTCAAACTTACATACTGTTGGACCTCAATAATGCTAGATGCTTAGAATGCTAGGCCCAAGTTCCAGGACAGAATAAGAGTCAAACTGAGGTGGATTTAAGATGTTCTAGTTTCAATTTAGCTTGCCAGTTTGTTCTATGATAAAGATAACACTTTCCTAATGCTTTCTTTTGTCTTAGACACAATGTTTGATTTAGGTAGGAGGAAATTGTCTTTTTGAAAAAAAACAAAGGTGTTGCCTTTTTTCAGCTTAACTAAGAAAGTACTTGACAAAAAGCAAAATGTAATTTTGAATTATGGATCAAAAAAAGATACTCTAGAGGAGTTGCATCAGTAGGGTATAATTGGTCCCCTTTACCATAACATAGAAACCTGGTTGTGATTCATGCCTCTTCATTAATCTTCCCATCCTTCCACATTTACAGAACCACCGATAACATACCAAATAGCATCCACCAAAGCCCGAGCCTTTTAGTTGATGCCCCTCTCATGCCCAGCCTTAATACCCAATCTGGTTACCTGTTAACCTGTTAATTATGGCCCCTACGTTAATTTTGACAATACATTATGTTTATCTAACTTTAAATTGGAGCCCATTGATTAAATGTATGTTATCAGCAGCTCTTTTCCTGTGTGCAGTGTGTGACTGAGAAGCTGGTGTGTAGGAGTGTGCAAAGCCTAAGTTTAGCAGTTGTATTTGTGAAAAGTAACACAAAATATTGATTTATGCAATTGGGGAAAATGTCATCTGGAGCCTGTGGTGCCAACACAGGATGCTTGTGATGTTAGAGCAACTCTTACAACACTTGAACCTGTTAGCAGATGGACGGAAGAAAGTAATTCTAAGAAATGTGCTTGTATTTGACTGGTTTGTTTGGAGATCTGAAGATCTGCTCTTTTTTACCTGTCATCTCCACTCCATCGTAACCACTGGTTTACTCCAGTTGGTTACCATGGATTGTCACGTTTGTTTTTTAATTATTAAATCATTTTTTAATTAGGTTGTCTGTTTTTCATTGTCTTCTATGTTGCCATGTAAAACATTTCAGTCTTTAAAAACGTACACTTTCTTATCTCCTCTCCTTGTTTTGTTTAACACACTCTATTGGACAAAGTGACATGTACTTATTTGTTCTCAGCAATGACAACAAATAAGGAGTTGTTGTTGAAGGAGAAAGAAAGGGAAATATCCACTTGACCTGTTCCAGTGTCAGCCTCAAAGTTGTCATCCCAGCCCTCATGTGATTCTACTCGCATTTCTCTTATCCCCTTCCCAGTGTCTGGTTAGATTGACCCTGATCACCCAAAAGCAGATCTTCTCCTCTGAGAATAAGGTTACTCATTTATTCTCCTCTGGAATGTGTGATGCCCATGCACGGATATCTTACTCTTACATTGTTTTTGCCTGACATTACTACATGTCCCCTCTTTCTCAAGATCTTAATACTGTAAAAAGCATAATGGTGTTGTAGAATGTTTTGGACCAGTGCTCTGATACACTGCTTAGCTCTGGCTTGCGCATGACTGAATGTGCGTGCATCTACCTTGGCATCAGCGAGTGTTGTTCAAGCTAAAACAAGATGCGAATAAGCTAATCACTTTGAAAACGTAACACTCATCTAGACTTAATGTTCCATTATGCTAAGCTAAACATTGACACTAAAGTCTGCAGCGGTTCCCTTCAAAGCAAACCATTCATACTGACTTCCTTCCCTTGTTCTATTCCTATCTTTCCAAGTGGACACACCCACTGGAGGCATCGATATTCAAATGATCTGTAATTCACGTTCAAGTACTTTGGCTGGGGTATAATTTCTTATTATTAGAACACTGGTTTACTCCTTTTTTTAATTACCATGATACATCCTCCATTATAACCTGTACATGAGTCAGAGAGTCCCTGGAAAAAGGACTAAATATTTATATGTTGATGCCAAATGTGGGTGTTGTCCATCAAACCTTGTTTATTTCAATATCTACTACTTTGCTGGTAACTTGTGAAACTCTTACTTGTTTTAGGCTTTAGCGAGTATGAGTTTAAACACCCAGCCCATCCTGAATCTGGAGAAGTTCCAGGAAGGTCAGGATTTACCCCTTCTCCCTCCTGGAAGGGATAAAGCATCTCCATCTTCCACTGAGTTCAACCCTCTCATCTATGGAAATGATGTTGATTCTGTGGATGTGGCTACAAGGTGATTCCCAATGTTTTTGTCTCCTGTCATGTGAAATTAACATATTTTGACGTAAACACATACTTGAATCACTTTTTTATTTGTGTAGGGTGGCCATGGTGAGGTTCTTCAACTCCCCCAATGTTCTTCAGGGTTTCCAAATGCACACTCGCACCTTGCGCCTTTTCCCGCGACCAGTGGTGGCTTTTCAATCAACGTCTTTTTTGGCATCTCGTCCACGACGATCTAGCTTTGCAGATAAACTTTCCCACACACAAGCTGTGGAGTTCTACGGAGAATGGGCTCTGAACCCCACCAATCTTGCATTTCAGAGGATACATAACAGTAGGAGTCATTTAAAAATTTATTTGGGTCAACTTTTTGTTTCATATATGTAACAGGTCAAGTCAATTTTATTTTTATAGTCAAGATTTACAAAACTAATTTGTCTCAATGAACTTTGCAGTTTAAAACTATCCTCCTAAAATCCAAAATAATGGAAAAACATGGAGGAATGAGTTTATATTACAATACAAAGTAAAACAGAATACGTTTTAGAAATATTGTTGAAAACCAAATCAAATCACACACTGATCAAGTATTTTGGCAATGATGGGGAAGAAAAAAATTCTATAACAGTGAGTTATAAATAAATATACAATCTTTATTTGCAGATGTGTTTGATCCCTCTTTAATTGGAGATAAGCCTAAATGGTATGCTCACCAGTTACAGCCAGTGGTCTACAGAGTTTATGATGGAAGCTCTCAGCTTGTTGAAGCTATGGCTGGACCCTTAGAAGATGAGGGCAATGAATCTGATCCCACAGATAGGTACAAAAACACACTTGTTTTCCATTTTGTTTCTGAGCTCCCTTTAATGACTTGTATTGTATTTGCAGTGGTAGTGACAGTGAGGCATATGATGACTCCAGCTCCTCTTACTCATCCCTTGGTGATCTTGTGAGTGAAATGATCCAAGGTGACATCCAGGGAGACACGCCCAGTATGTTCTTTCAACACACCATACACTTTTATCATGTTTGGACCACATTTCCTTCCTTTGTAAAATATATTATGATGTACTAGGCTTGGACCCTCCAACCCACGCTGCCTTGGGAGATGCAAGTGAGGTTGAGTTTCATGACTTCCATGACTTCAGGGAAGGACACGGCTCAGAGGGTCCACCAAGTGGAGATTTACTTGCTGAAACCACTGATGGACAACCTCTTCGCTCAAGTTCTAGCACAACTGCTAGTTCAAGTCCCAGTACAATCATCCAAGGAGTGAACAATGTGTGTGGCATTTTACAACAACAAAACAAAACAAAAAAAGAATAATGAAAATTATTTAAATGGATGAAAAACAGTAGAGTTTTTATGCATATCCTATTCCCCGTTTTCCTTTTCTAGGACCAGGCGGAAGTACCTGAGATTGAAGCATCAGCTACCGCAGCTTTACAGAATCCTGTTCCTGCATTGAGCTCTCAGCCTTTCCTGAGGCCACCATCTGACGGCGGCATGGTGACCTCAAATAACAAAAAGCAAGAGTATGACAACCCGTACTTTGAGCCTCAGTATGGCTTTCCTTCGGAAGATGACAATGATGCAGAAGAGCAAGTGGAGTCGTACACTCCCAGATTCAACCAAAACCTCAATGGCAACAAGTGTGTTTAACATGTGTATTAATGTAGATATTGTTTTATCATTTTTGAAGGTTAATTTTAGATCAATATTATATTTTATTCTTTTGTTGTGTACCACAATTATATTTTATGTTTACCACACATTTTATCACTTGTGGTTATTTAGGACTCAGCGTTTGCTACGGCCCAGTAGCCTGAGGCTTCCAGGAGAGTCCGATGGTGAGGGAGACTCCCGTAACAGCTCACCAAATTCCACTATTTCCAATAGCAGCAATGATGGATTTGGTGGACTTATGTCCTTTGCTAGTAAGTTTTTTTTTTTTCCTATTTCATTCTCTTTTGACTGTTTAGTCTTTATCTTGCAGTGGAAAGCTTCTCAAACAACCTGTTAATGCTTACTTTTTAGCATAAAGGAATAAAAGAAAAACACATTTTGTAGACCATTGCTTTTTTTGTTCACTATTACCATACGGTTATTATTCCCCTACAGGCAATCTATACAAGAACCATGGGACCAGTTTCAGTCTGTCTAATCTGGCTCTTCCCAACAAGGCAGCCAGAGAGAAAGCAACACCCTTCCCTAGTTTAAAAGGTAGGACATAACAGCAACTGTTAACAAAGTAATGTCTGTTCCTGCTCCAATGTGGTTTCAGAGGTAACATTATTCTATAATAACCTGCTTCATGTTATCATCTAAATGTAAAATAATTTGCAAATCGTGTTTTTATGTTATTAAAATGTCAATCACCTACAAAACAAATCCTAACTGTTAGCATCATAATGTATAAAAATAGAGTTTGACTCATTATTTGTCTAGTTTCTTTAATACTATTTTCTTGATCAAATGAGCAGAAACACATAAATAGATTAAAATAAAAAGGTTTAAACCCCTGTTTAAATCCAGTTTGTGCCAGACATGGACTGATATTGAGAGAAAAGGAAAAAGGTGGAGCATAGTAACCTAACTCAATGCTTACATCATACTTGGAATAGTTGCCATGACAAATGCTGTGTTCCCTTTCATTATGATTTTTTTTTGTTGTTGTTGTTGTTCAGATGACCCTGAAAGCCCGGGTATGTCATGTCTGGTGTGATACTGTTTTAGTGCTTTAATAGACAATCCTCTGTCATTGGAGTGCCCTTAACTATCTTATACCCTGTCTCTCCAAATGGGACTAAGATAGAAAAAAACCCTTTTAAATCCTTCATGTTTGTCCATACTTTTTCTTTGTTCATGTTTTAGTCTTCTCTGTGTGACTAGTGCGAGTCTTTGTGGGAGAATGCACACCTGGTCTTAACTGAATAGAGGTTAATTTCCAGGCTCATGTTTTGTTGTGCCTTGCATGCTTATCTGGTGGCTTCCATCGTTGAGTGCTACCTTCCCTCACTGACTACTTGTGACAAACACAGTTTTAAATTACTTTCTGTTAAGGACTGCATTATAAAGAGGTAAAAAACATTTGTAATTCACACCAGTGTAAACATTTAATCTGGAAATATAATTTATTTACACAGTGACCTAGAGAACGTAGGTTAATTGTATAAATATATCAGGCTAGCTCAACAAGCTCCTGATTATATTCCACTTCATTAAATCCATTCATCCCTGTTGTCACTTCTCATCAAAGGATGTAGACCGATCAGTTCCAGTTGGTCCATTAGTTTCCTTTCTGTTGCATACGTTCTAATCTGCAATTAAGTTCTGCATACCCTTTTTGGCATTTCTTTCCTTTGTTACAGAAATCTTTTAAATTATGCAATGTTCAGATGACATAAGCTTAGACACCATCTTCTTGTGGTTTCTATGGGTGTATGGGTTTATTTTGATTTATCTGTGGCTTTGGAATATAAGTAGCAGCACCAGCCAAGCTTCTAAAAAAGTGTGACTCATAGTGTAAAAAACTCGGTATACATGTTGAATGTGTTTCCATTGTCAAACACATGGCCCTTTCAACATTTGTGGGTTTACAGCATCATTGGTACACATTGTATTTTTTTTTCCCTTTTGTGTTTTTCTTGTTTTTTGATTCTATATTTTGTTGTCATATTAAGTGTGCATGTTTGTAATGGGTCGATGTTCAGACTGGTTGTGTCTGGGCCAGTGTCCCTCTCTTTCTCTCCATCTTGATGGTGCACTAATTCTGGGTTTTGTGTGCAGTATTTGGGCTAAATTCTCTAATGGAGATTATTACTGAGGCTGGCCCGGGGAGCGGAGAAGGTGGGTCTTGCCCTTTAAATCGAAAGAGCTGCATGTAACTACAAGCCAGTCAACTACATCTCCCAGCATTTCCATTTGTCCTCATTTCATCAAGGGTCCTGTGGCGCAGAGACTTTGGTCTTTCCATGCTTCCACTAATTAATCCCTGTTTTGTACTGTTTTTTCACTCCACAGTATGTCCAGATTTGTTTATTTAACTAACCAGAGCACAATTACACTTCAAAGCTAAAAAAGCTGTACTTACAAAAATTAAAGAAAAAAATACTTTACGCAATTAAAGGCCACAGGAAAAGAAATGAAGAACAAAATTGCAATGTTAAAAGACAATGGAATAAGAATCCAAGTGTCATTGTTTGCCATTGTTAGACAAATCTAATCTGAGTGAGTCTAAACAGGCTGTTATTATACAGTGCACAGTGAGCGGAAGCTGAAGTGAAAGTATAAGAACTTATACAAGGTAAAATCCTTTAACCGTATAGTACAGATATGTGATACATGTTACATGTATCACATATGTATATCACATATATATACAGTATATACATGTTGCAGTTTGACAAATTAGTGCCATAACCTTTTGGGGACACTTAAGAAAACATAGGCTGTCACTATAACAGCCACACCAGAAATCTTTATGGAGTCTAAACAGCACTGACATTTTGTTTGCAGTGAACCTAAAGCACAATTTTAATTTCTGTTTTCTTTACCATTGGATGTTGTGTTTTTGATTTCCTGTACTCTGGTGAACTTTCCTTTTCTTGTGATGCCCTGATCATTCCAGTTCTGTTTGTTGTCTTTGTGTTTATATGTGTTGTTGTCAGACATAATAGAACAAAAATAAATCAATTTAAGTTTTTCAAATGTAGTATAATGAAGTATACAGTAAACCTAGTTTTAAGTCTGAGAAGTTGGAAAAAGTAACTGGACGTTTCACAAACATTGTCGTAACTATTTTTCCATCCTCAGGCTGCAAACAGCTGCATGTAGTTGCTTTTTCACATCAGGCCATTGCTTTAATTTTCTTGGTAAACAGACATGCTGACAGTCCAGTACTGAAACATATGTTCATTTTGCCAGCCTTGATTAACACTTACACTAATCTACCCTTATTTTGCATTACAAGAATTTTTGACAGGAGGAGGAGCACAATTTCCCTATTATATCAATCTCTGATACTGAGATTTAATACAATGTGAAACATTTGTCTTTATATATATCTGTGAAGACATGGACCTGGAGACTATAATTTCTTTGACTTTATTCAGAGAATATTAAGGTTTAGATACAAAACGTTCTCTAATAACAGTTCATAACAGTTTGTGAGCTTTTGCTCATCTTGTTTTGTTTTTTTTATTTATTTGCATGGAACCACTGATGTGGATGCTGTCCTCACATTTTTTTTCCTTTGACCATAGTTTTTAGTGCTTGTGTGTGTGATGCCACCACCAAGAGCAACATTTGAATCGGTCCTTACCCCTTATGCAGCAATAGTAGTCTTCCTGAAGATAATAGTCTATAGAGTCCAGGAGTGTCTGTGTAAACCACTCAAAGTATCCTGTTTGAGAGCTTTCTCTTTTTCATGTTCTGCGTGATTCTTAATGAGTAATGTTGTGTTTCTTCTCATTCTGAGTGTTTCCCTATCTAGTAAGTTTGTGGTTTACAGATTTTACTGTAACTTCTTGGGTTCAGAAACATCATTTAATTGTTTTTTTTTTCTTTCTTTTTAGGCCCACGTCCACCACGAGCTCTTGTGGACCAAAAGTCGTCAGTTATCAAGCACAGTCCCACAGTAAAGAGAGAGTCTCCTTCTCCACAGGGTAGAGTCAACAACACAAGGTATAGTTTGCTATTAATTATTACTGTTTTCGGTCATTACAATTACCATGAGCGATTTGACTTTTGACTTGACTTGACTTTTTGTTTTTACAATACCAATTCGCCTTTAATTATTCTTGACAATAAACCTGACGTTTCTATCCAAGTGAGAACCAACAATTCTTGAAGGAAGTGGTGCAAAGTGTTCTGGATGGTCAGGGTGTGGGCTGGCTCAACATGAAAAAAGTTCGCCGTCTGTTGGAGAATGAGCAGCTTCGTGTTTTTGTGCTGAGTAAACTGAACAGGGCCGTGCAGTCGGAGGAAGACGCCAGACAGGAGATCATACGTGATGTGGTAGGACATGTCAAATCTTCTACCTGATTAATTGCACCACACGTCTGGAATAATCATGAGTAATCATGATCATGCATTATGATTGTGATTGATCACTTTGAGTATTTGATGATAAATTACCATCAACAGGTAATAGTAGTCAAGCGGATGTGTTTCACACCTGTTTTTTCTGACAATATGTAATTATTAATTCAGAAAAATGTCAAGAAAAATATGCAAACTTATAATTCTAAATTGTTATTTATAAAGAGGGAGAAGTCATTTTTGTGCATCTTGAGTTGCAACTTTTCAAAACTTTGCAATTTGAATCATTTTATAGTCCCTCATATTCCCATTTGGCCATAATGCCAGTGAGCTTGTCAGCTGTAGACTTACTTTTTGCCTTGTGCTCTGAGAGGTTGGTCTGATGTAAGCCAGTCTGACCTTAAATTGAAGCCAGTACAAATGCATGCTGGGTGTAAATGGTATTTTTACGAGTTGTCTAAAAACTACCTATATTATGTTTCCTCTTCAACTTTTTCCAGGAGGTGAACAGAAAAGTCTACAAAGGAATGTTGGACATCTTGAAGTGCACAGTTTCCAGTCTTGAGCATTCTTACACCAATGCAGGTCTGGGAGGAATGGCCAGCGTGTTTAGCTTATTGGAAATAGCATGCACACATTACCAAACCAAAGGTATGTCAAGGTTATGGAATTGTAACAATTCAACAATAGAATTGTCATATTTTTCTAAAGCTGAGTTAATTTTTCAAGAGAGTTTGTAATCCCAGTTGCAGTGACAGCAGGCTTGTGATATAATCAGTTTTCCAGTTAAATGTCCAGTTTTAATACATTGTTTTAACTGGCCTTAACTGCATGCAACTAACCATTAACTGAAAAACTGTCACTTCTGTCTTTCCTTGATACATCTTATCTCACTTCCAGTTTTAACCACCACACATTGTCTTCCTCTTACATCTATTTTACTATGTTTGGACTTAATTTTGGTAACGTGGTAGACCCAGAAAAACGCAAGCGAAGCCCCACAGACAGTGCTGGCAGCCCGGGCAGTAAAGAGAGTCCTTCTGGTCCTATGGAGACTGCCAAACCTCAGGGTCTTCTGAATATCCCCCACCTGCAGCTGCCGCATCACACCACGGGCAAAGGAGCCCGGCATTTTGACACCCGAAGCCTTAATGAGGAGAACTTTATTGCCTCGATTGGTGTGTACACCGATAGAGCCCCTGTAGCATGTGCATTGTGATCCTGCATGCCTAATAGATTATAAACATTTTCTTTTACCCTTACTCCCCGTCCTTTGCATGTAGTTATGAAATATCCTGTCACATGTCCAGTAATTAATCTAACAGGTGTGATACTATTTCATTGTCATAAAGCTGTATAAACCATTATATATATTTATATATAATGACAGGATTCACAAACATTTGGCTTATATTAGAATAACAAGGTAAAATAAAAAGGTGTCTGGAATAGTTCTGTTTCTGAGTCTGGACTGTGACAGTGGTTGAGTCCCCTTTTTAAACATTTGTGCCACTGTCTGGCTCCTTTTTAATATTTTGTTGTCAGTGTCTCAGGACCTTAGCTGCATGTCTTTGTTTTGGTCATCCTACACTTAAATCTGCAGTAGTGGGCGTAAGAAACCAGAGGTATGCACATTGATGGACAAATAGGTGCCTGACTGTGCCTTTTACTGCAGGTTTTTTAGGTGCTGTAGAAAATGGCAGCCCTTTGCTCTTAGCATGGAGGATAGAAGCATTCCCCTGTAAACAGTACCAGTAAAGGGATGGAAAAAAAGACTGACAGAAGAGAAAGTTGGTTTAAATACAGCTGTAATCATTTACATGCTTATTCTCTGAGAACAGTTCTGGGTCTGTATACAGGGGACACTCTTCTCTACCACCTTGATTACTCTCCTACCTGCACCCCTTTTGTTCTTCTCAGAAGTTGCACTTTCAATTCTACAGAATGCCGTCAGACTTGCATCCATGCTTCTGCAACTGCTTCATTCCACCTGCTGCCTAGTTGGCCGCTCCAACCCCATCTCACGCTCATTTCTCGCTCAATCACACCTCTCCCTCTTCCTCCCTCTCCCTTCATCTACCACTGTTGCTCTAGAGAGCTGCACCTATGCAGTTGGTGTCATCAGTGGCCTGCAGTCAGATCCATATTTATCCATCAGTGTGTGGCTCTCTGCAGCCCTGGGCCAGAAAGCCTGTGGGTGTTGTAATGTTACCTTAGTAGCTGTAACAAACATCGGTTTTGGCCAAAATACAAAACTGTGATTTTTAAAAAATAAAAAAAAGTTTTAGTGGGAATTAAACACAGCTACAACAACATTACAAATTCAGCAGTGACAAATACCAAATGCTCATTTTGTTTGTTTTTTCTTTCTTAATTTTTATTGCTCATCCACCATACATGCCTTTTCAATCAGCTCTTTGACTCTCTCTCTGTCTTTCTCTCCTTGGCTTGCAATGCATCTTGGGTAGAATTGTGGAGCAAGCACCCGGATAAGCAAAATGCTATGGAAAAACTACAGAGTAAGAAACTTTTCACACACCCGAAAAATAATGGGGTGCTCAGCTCTTGACCTTTTCCCACCCTCTCTCTCCACTCATTATAACTCGTTAGTGATTTTACAGTTAGGAAAAGTAAAATTACAGTTTGAAAAAATGTTTTATTTTCTTTTAAAAAAAGTTCTCATTCATTATTTACTGTTGTGTTTAACTTTTATTTTTGATTGATTTGATTATGCCTTACAGGTAGCTTATTTAAATTAATTAAGAGTTTAAAGAATAGGACATCTCTGTCTAATAACTCTTTCCAGCTTGAGCAGTTTTGATTTTCCAGCATTGTTTTTTTTCTCTCCTGACCTCATGCATCAAGATGCACAACTAATGTATAACTGCAGCCCAGCCCTGCTCTTTTAACTGAATTCTTTACAGTTTCAAGTGGCTTGTTCTAAACTGTCTTTACAGCCAAGTTTTATTGATATGTATTTATATATATATGTATCTATATGTATATATGTATATATATATATATACATATATATTTAAAAAAATGGGGTTTTATGATAAAGTAGTTACTGTTATTATTACAGATGAAAAGGTACAAATTACACTTGAAACCGAAACTGTCTCCTGTACCGTCCATCAGTTTGTCTGCATGCCTAACTGCCTGTGTATGTTTTTGGTGTAATTTGCGCCACATGTGCAGCATTGACTGACACTTAATGTCCCGCTCTTGCAGTTTTGTATTCTTTTTTTTTTTTCTGTTTGAAACTTGATCCCAGTTGTTTTTGCAGTGACTGCTTGCCTCTTCGTCACTCCTCTTTCCTGTTGTCCTTCGCCGTAAACTTTATATAAGAAAGGGAGGAAACCATCGGGTTGCAAATGTGAAGCCACCGTAGTCGCCCCAATGTGCACTGTTGTTTTTTTTATATATATATTAGCCCCTTATGACTATAAGTCGATGGGAAAATGTAGCAACTCCTCCTTGAACTTATGTTGTTTAATATTTATTGTAGTTTATAATTCTTATCAACATTATTTTCTTTTGTGGTAGAGTATAATGTCATATTAGTAAGTTATGACCTAATTTAGCATGAAATATGAATCTATTGACTCATAAGAGGCTGTTAGTATGTATCATTCATTGTTATGTCTGTTACCATAATATATCACGTAGAACATGTCCTGTTCGAGAATAGTCACATCTTGTGACTCACTCAGACTTCTACTGAATTATGGAACATTTGATTGAGATGAGGCACTTTTTTACCATCATTAGTGGTTTCATTTTCAAAGCATATTTAGTTAACAGGAGATCTATATCTATATTTTAATGTAAATTCTATGGACTTGAACGAGAACTGGACACTAGAAATTGTGCACAAAACAAAATCCTAACGTGATTAAGTTCTTGTATTTCCCATGTATTTTCATTTAACAAACAACAGTAAGGCCTGATACTCTATCTTACTCTTTCACCAGTGCAGTCTAATTAAGCAATGCTCTTGGCACTTATACATGTTATCGTCATTGTTTCTGTCCTTGAGTGATGCACCACCGCAAGGTAAGAAGGTAATGCAGTTCTACTCGTGGCTGTGAGCTAACCACATGTACTGCCCCTCAGGATCTGATGGGGCAAAGCAGCAGCGCCCCCCTGTGGCAGATGCAGAGGAGAAAAATTCTCAGATCAGTGCCGACAGTGGCCTCAGTGTCACTTCAGGATCTCAGGTATGTTTTTTGATTTTTGTAAAAAAAACAAATTATTATAATATATTTGAAACAATGTATTTCATATCTTTACAGAAGAGTGACACTGAATCTGTAACAAGCTCCGAGCCACCGATTCTGACAAGAACCACGAGCCAGGACTCAGAGGCCAGCACAGTGGTAGGGCACAGCCAACTTAGATGATGATGGCAATATTTTCTTTATTGGAGGAACTCGTATGTAAAGCAGCAATAATTTGAAATTATTTGTCCTTTTCTTGGAAATACATGATTAAATCCATCTATACAAACCACTTCCCTCTTTAGATCATAATATTTATCGGTTGATTTCCTTATAGAATTAAATTGCAAGTTCTATTGGTATTGATGTGTGAAGTTGGAGGTTTATGCTCTAGGTACATTAGATGATTGGTTTACCTGTTTGTACTCAAAGTTTTCATTTTTATTTAAGATATGAGTCCTACAATGATTGTCTTGTCCTTGTTGGGGGTTTTGACTGAACTGGGAAAAATAAAAAGATCATTTGCACATACAGAAAGAAAAGGCAAAGTGCGAGGACGTAGCCGTGTGGAGGAGGAGATGCAATGCAAGTGCTGGGACTGATATCCAGTTTGACTGTGGCTATAGTATAGTACTTGATACTATAGTGTCAAAGGTTGACCTAAAATATAAACACAATACAATAATAATAGGCAAACTGGTATGACTCTTTTAAGTGGTTTGTATTTTTAGGTGATTTAGGAGGATTGTTCAATTGACCTTATGAACACCAAACACAGGCAACAAATCTAATGCTTTCAAACTATTAATCATTATAAATCCAAAAGCTCTCTCTGTCTTGTATTCTTCTGAGACCTGGTTCACGTCTTTCAGATAAGCAACAGCTCTGGGGAGACTCTGGGAGCCGACAGTGACCTAAGCAGCACAGCAGGAGACGGCCTTGGTGGGAGGACTGCGGCTCATCTGATGCAGTCTAGAGGGACTCTGTCTGACAGCGAGATTGAAACCAACCCAGCCACCAGCGCAGTGTTTGTGAGTAGAAGATAAGTAAAACATTTAGTCATTAGATAACAACTAACACTTTTAGACACAGTTGTACACTGAAGACAATATTGACCCTCAAAACACTGTGGTGATGGACAGCTGTGTCTCTTGAATCTCAGGTCATCTGAGGAGGTGTTTTTATTTAACCAACGTGACTGTGTCTGTTCTTTTATTTATTTATTTTTTTTTCAGGGAAAAACCCACACACTGAAACCTGGTGTTAAAGAACATGTGGCTGCTCCATTAAAGGCACAGCCTGTGCAGCTGATGGAGGACTACAGTATGAGGATTTATCTCTGTGAGGGCCTGCTAGGTGTGTGTGTAATGTCATGACACAAACAGTTCATAATCTTGTTTTGAGTTTTCTACATCTTGAGGATGGAATCTTGATATCTTCTTCACACTATAACTTTAACTGGCTTTACTAACATTAACTTTGTCTTTATTTGTCCTTTTTTAAAAAAACTTTTGCATCATTTAAACTAATTTTGTCTTTTCAGTCATAGGTCATTAATGATTAAATGACTATATCTCATGGAAATAAAGCTGCTTTTCAAATTTAGATTTAGAGCACTGTAAGTGCTAAAACATCCAAATGCTGCCAGATGCAACAATAACAGCAGTATGATCCTGCCACCGTTTAAGGAAATATTATTCGGAATGAGCTTTTGCTTTTTGAAAGTGAGCAATTTTTTTTCTTACTTACAAATAATCGTGATTAATCAAAGTAATTTGTCATTCCTAATTATGATAAAACTGTTTTGGCTGTATAATGCTGGAACAGAAAGACAATATATACAAATTCATATATTGTTTAAGAATTAGACATTGATTGCATATATGTGTATGTACTGTATGTATGTATATATTTTACTGCATGAAAAACAGCACTGGAGCTTATACCTGGTGTGGCTTATATAGGCATTTTAAAACATATTGGATGTAACAATGGAGTGCAGCTTTATTTCTGTAAAAGTTTTGCTGCTTGGTGCTGACTCTCCTCCCTCTGGTGTGGTTGTTAACTAGCTATGCTCTTTTTTTGTGATTAACCGTACTCACCTTCTCCTTATTCCCTCACTGCTCTCACTGCTTCTTTTCCCTCCTGCTGCTACTCCTGGGAAACTTTTCCAGGCCGTGATAAGAGCTCCGTATGGGATCAACTAGAAGATGCTGCCATGGAAACCTTCTCTCTGAGTAGGGCTTACCCTTTGCCCCTATTGTCCTTGTGTGTTTGTGTGAATTATATATATTTTCTACCTGGTCTGGCTCTGTGTTTAGCATAGAATTTTATACGTTCTTTTCCTGTCTGTCAAGTTCAGCTAGACTTCAGCTGTACTGCTTGTCTCGGTGTTTCTTGTTTCTTTAGTTACAGGTGGAAACGTGCACTTATATTAATTTTAGCCTATGACATTTTCACATCTAAAAACTAAAACTTGATTTGCCCAGTTTGACTTTTTAATGAAACTAATTGTTTAGCTGTTAATAATATCTATTATTATTATTATTTAAGTTGAGGAAACTGAGATCTCCTGTTATCAGTAACGGTAATGTAATTCAATTAAATCCTGGTTCACAGTGTGATCAACATACTGCCTCTTAATTTCTTAAATCACCTGTTCGTCAAAGTTATAAAAGAAAATCATCACAGAAGTCAACATTACAGAAGCGCCCAAACAACCAATGTTAGGTATAAGATACAAAAGGTTTGACTGTCAGATACACTATTAATTTTTTATTATGTTCATTTTTTCCCAGAATAGAATTTTTGCAAACATATGTTGACATGTAATATATGGTTTGAAGTTCTAACACCCTTACTCATGTCCAGGTAAGGAGCGCTCCACGTTGTGGGACCAGCTGCAATTCTGGGAGGATGCTTTCTTAGATGCTGTGATGCTGGAACGTGAGGGCATGGGGATGGACCAGGGACCGCACGAGATGATTGAAAGGTCCAATCAGTTTTGGTTTTTGATGCTATCAGATTTAGGACACCTTAGTTCAAACTACATTTACAGTAACGTAGCTACACTTCCTAATTGTGCATTGAAAACTACAATTGTTGGTTGAGTAAACAGACTTTCAATGTGTTTCAATGAGGTGTATGTTTGAGAAAACACATAATATGCATTCTAACAGTAACAGTTGGAGTTGAATTCATCAGATCAACTAGTAAACGATTTAAGTATCAATGATAGTTAAAAGAGGAGCATCCATCATCCTTCTGTTGCTGCCTCATTTTTATCAGTTCAAGTGTTTCTCATTAGGAATCTCAGGAAAGAGAAATCTTAAAGTGCAGATATTGAGTCTTAAACAATGACAACTTACTGTTTGTCTTACTGTTTGTCTCATGTGGGTCGACACAGGTACCTGTCACTGGGGGAACATGACCGCAAACGCCTGGAGGATGATGAAGACAGACTTCTGGCCACTCTGCTGCACAACATGATAGCTTACATGCTAATGATCAAAGTAGGCAGCCCTGTTTATCCCTTCATGCCTTAATGTTATATACCTCCTGCTTTATCTTCAATTTCTACTTATAAATGTTACCTCAATTTAATTTTAGTTGAACAAAAATGACATCAGGAAGAAAGTGAGGCGTTTGATGGGAAAGTCTCACATTGGCCTCACATACAGCCAAGAGATCAATGAGATACTGGACAAACTGGCTAATATGGTAAATATATGTCCTCGCTAATGAATTTTCACACAATAGTAATCTTTATTATTTTCTTCCATTAGGTTTTGGGTGTAGTTTGATCACGTTGAGGTGGTCTGATTTTATGAAGGACTTTTTGATACTTGGTACATTAAATATATATGAATCAAAGGACTTAAATTGGTCCATAGATTATTCCAACTTAAAATCTAAGCAACTTTGTCATCTAAATATAAACATTAACATTCTTTTTTCTTTCATTCTCCAACTCTCAACCCAAACACTTGCTTCTTGTCTTTTAACGCTGTTATGAATCCATCTCTGTCTCTCCCTTAATACGGTATGTCAGTTTTGCAGTTGCTAACGGTCTGTATATCGCTGCAGAACGGTCGTGAGCTGTCCATCAGGCCCAGTGGGAGCCGCCATATCAAAAAGCAAACGTTTGTTGTTCATGCTGGCACTGACACCACAGGAGACATATTTTTCATGGAGGTAGGCGGATTTCTGACAACAACACTGTGAGAGGAACTATAATATTCTGCTTTTAGGAATTGAACAAAAGTTGAGTGTTTGCTAAAGTTAAATATTACCACTGAACATTTGTCAAAATACAGCCACCCATGTGAAAAGTTGATCGCTGCTGGCTGTGTAGTTGAGTCTGTATTTGTTCATCGATTTTTTTTTTTCTCAAACTTGAAATCAGTGGTTCTACACCTTGAATTAAGTCCTTGAATGAACTGAACTTTTAGGTGTGCGACGACTGCATCGTCTTACGCAGCAACATCGGCACAGTGTATGAACGTTGGTGGTACGAGAAGCTCATCAACATGACCTACTGCCCCAAAACCAAGGTCCTGTGTCTCTGGAGGCGCAACGGCCAAGAGACACAGCTCAACAAGTTCTACACAAAAAAGGTCAGAATATGTGCCCTTGAATATCTTTAACTGCAGAATAAAACAGTTGCAGTCCCTGATAACTTTCATGTTTGATTCACAGTGTCGTGAGCTGTACTACTGTGTGAAAGACAGTATGGAAAAAGCTGCAGCGAGACAGCAAAGCATCAAACCAGGTATGAAGAGAAAAATCTGAGGCTTCATTTCTTTTTGTCTTTTGGTGCTTCACTGTCATTTCATTTTACTGTAATCATTTTCGACATTTATAAACACTTTCTGTTGGTTTTTATTTCCTGCAGGTCCAGAGCTGGGTGGGGAGTTTCCCGTCCAGGACATGAAAACAGGAGAAGGTGGACTCCTGCAGGTCACACTGGAAGGAATTAACCTTAAATTCATGCACAGCCAGGTAAGAAGGTGACACCAGGGCAGGGTCACTGCTTCTCATCTCCCACAACGGCATTGACAAAAGTCACTCATGTTGGATGAGAGTTCATCTTTGGTTCTCTGTCCACCTTCCTGCTCCTCTCTCCTTCTTTGAATTCATGTCTTTTCTTCCTCTATTGTCTTCAAAAATGTATTAAGCTCAAACATATTGCAGTGACCATTTTTTTTAAATAATTAAATTGACATTTTATAATATCCAATGTGCTCCTATAGAGGAAGAGAATTTCTGTTTTTGTGCATTTGCTGTTTTTCTTTTTGATTTGCTTCCTTCAGTTTGAGACTGTGTGTATCTGTGTCTGTGTCAGTGTGTGTGTGTGTCCCTGTGTGCCCCTGTGTGCATGTGTTTCCCTGGACAATATTAACACATCTCTCTCTCTGCACAAGTTTTTCTTTCCCTGTGACATGTGTTACTCATATTCATCACTGTGGGAGGAGATAATGTGTTAATGTGTGTGTTGTGCATCAGTGCTGAGATGGATTTGAAACAAAGACTTTTCATTAATAATTGGCTGTTTAATGGCAACTGTCCACATTTAAGTTTGAACCTTTGGACATCACTGTGTGTTTTCTTCACCTGTCTGTCGGTAGAGTAAGTTTCAGGTCCTTTCTTTATTTCTGGTTAATCTTCTGTTGGATTGTGAGCTCTAGTTAAACCTTCTAAAAATAGTGCCTGAACTTTTATGTAGGTGAAGGAACTCTTAACAGAAGACTCCAGAAGGAAAGGGAGAGTGTGATAGTTTACAGTATGATTTCACTCTTATTACTCAGACTCAAATAGTGATGGAAAACCTTGCAGGTTTTCATTCTTAAATTTTACAATAATTCAAGGTCTATTAAAGAATATTTAATAAAAAGCTTGGAAACATTCATGCAGACACCATGACACACACAAGATTCTTGGTGTTATGCATCTGTTATTTTAGGGTTGGTTTATTATTTAAAACAGATGTAAAACCAGTAGGTTTGTTCATATTTTTAGTTTTATATTTTATCCATGTAGCAAATGTAAACTAGTATAGAGATTTTATTTTGTATAGCTGGAATTTTTTTTGTGTGTGTTTGAGCATTCAATGCAGTTTAATTCAATAAGGTGAGTCAGCAGACATTTCTTTTCCCTGTAAATAAAAGACACCGTTGTTCTTAAAAAGCTGCAAATGAAAAAAATATTGACATCGACATTGACAGTGTGATCCAGTTTAGTGGATGTGGAACTGGAGACATGCTTAGATTTCTAGGCTGTTTTTGGTTGGTCTTTTGTAGTTATACTAGATACTACTATGTGTATTTAGTAATTTAGTAATATGTGTAATAAAATAAGCCACATTTCTGACAAATTCCTTAAATTCTAATTTCTCCCTCCCTTCCTCAGCAGACAATTAAACCATTTTCATAGACATGGGCAGAAAGTTTTTAATTTCTCTTCTCAAGTTCTTGAGGAAGACAGAATGAGAGCAAGATACAGAGGTCTAATTTGATAATGAGGTTTAATGAGGTTGTGTGAGCATTAGTTCTAGGTAGATCCTTACTGTGTTGATGTCAGGGGTAACATTACACACGTGGCAGGTCGAACTTTTCCATCATCGACTTCCCTTAACCATATCTGTTCTGCTGTATGAGCAAGTGGTGTTGGTGCCAGCCCTTGTTGCTGGAGGAGGAGGCATGGAGGGCTCTGGGGGACTGAGCTGTTTAAAGTCCAGGAACACAAAGGTGAATCCAGCTCTCAATGCTTTAGTCAAAGCCCTCGGGGCTCCCTTTTTTACCCCACTTTTTATTTCTTAGTGTATTTCTTTTTATTTTGTAGTGTATCTTAGAGTGGGGAGGCGGATTGGTCCTGCCACAGGATTTTTGTTTTGTTTTTTTTCCCTACTTTGGCTTTGGCAACCTCACAGTGAGAAAGTTGATCTGAATCAACACGAGGCTCCCTCGTCTCTCGGAGTGTCGTTGAGTGTTTGTGCTCTTGTTTCCAATAATAATCCAAACCATTTCTCTCCCATGCTCTCTCCCCCTGCAAGGAGCGGAAGGTACACACCTCTGCTGTGTTCGCTTTTTAGCAGTAATCATTTTTTTCGGTTCCTTTTCTTTTCCTCTCTCTTGTTCTGTTTGTTCCTTTACTGTCGTAGCTGTTTGGCCAGCCTCAGTTTGTGTCTTTGTCAGCATTTTTATATGGAAATTCCATGTTTGCATCATATGGGCCATATTGCATCTTTTGAGAGTAAAAAAAAAACTTTCGAATCTAACGAAGATGCAGGGTAAAAATGAATGTAACTGTAAATTTCAGTGGAAGAAAGGAGTAACCAAAAAAAAATCTTGTCATTGAACCGTCGCCCATGTATGCGTTTGGCCATGGAAACTTCTCACCTTGTGCTTTTCTTTCCTGTCATTAGCTGTTTGAAGCTTGCATTCATGTGTACTTCTGTTCTTTTGTTTACATTCATTTTTAAAAAAGTCAAACATGGTTATTCTTTGTTTTCCTTTTTTTCAATCTAAAGTATTTAATTTCCATCCAGTGTGGTTGAGTTAATAATGTTATGTCTTTTTTTTTGTTCTGTTTTTTGTTTGTTTTTAGGTTTTCATAGAGCTGAGTCACATTAAAAAGTGCAATACAGTGAAGGGAGTCTTTGTCCTGGAGGAATTTGGTAATTACACCATCTATTGATTCTAGGCCTGTACTTGGCACGACAGTAACTCAGTTTTAGGGCTGATCTAGTCGCTCGTGAGAGAGAGTTGATTTGATACGTGTAACAAAGACAGCGGCTGACGTCTGTAGAAGCCCGTGATGGACGGAGCTTCTCTAAGGATGGAGGAGGATTTCGTTTAGTCACACGATACAGTGGCGTGTAAGAGGCAGGGAGAGAACAGGGGGGGGGAGGGAAAAAACAAGTCTTTGTCTGTCAATGAATCAAGAGTCAGAAATATGCCAATAGCACAATTATAATCAGCAGAGTTATTAGACTGGATCTCTTCCTGATGTAGAGAATTCAGCTTTAACACACGCAAGTTGTGTTAAAGTTCTGTGAGCACTTTACTGAGACATAATGCTTTAGCTTAACCTTACCTATTACAGTTATATGCCTAATACTTCTTCTTTTTCTAGCTCAAATCCCTAAAACTGTAAATCCTCAACCTCAAAATACTCCCCACAAGTACAGATGTACCAGAATGAAAGGTTACAGCAGACTCTGATGACTTCACTGGATGATAGATCCATATTTTAACAATAAAACTATACAACATACATACTGATTAAAATAATAATAATAATAATAAATAAATAAAAGTAAACAGAACCTGAAAGAACCAACTCTGCATTTACCAAAGTCATCCCAAGGATCTTGACCCTTTGGGTCAAACCAATTATTTCACCTGTGTTACCCAATCCCTTATTTCTTTAATCATGGAAATCATATTAAAGGCATAGAATGAAAGTAAAACAAATCACATTTAATTAATAGTGCTTTTAACATGTAAATAATCATTTTAAGACATTCATCTAAACTAAAGAAAAACCTCTGCGATAGTAAAAATGAAAGTAATCATTTGAATAAGGAGTCTTTTATCTGTGAACTGGACATTTGAATTGTAGCCAGTTTGTCCCACAGTGTCAGAACAGATGAGATTAATTCTGAAGACGTTGACATGAGTAAGTTCTGATCCGAGGCTGATGTTGGGCCAGGCTGGGTTACTGTCGTGTCTCTGTGCTGCTTTTGTAATGTTGCCCTCATCTTTGCCACTATGAAAACCTTCATTCTCCGGCAGGTAAAGTGTCCTCACCTTTCTCCTTTCTTACTGACATTGTTAAAAAGTGTAGGAAGAACAGTTTCTTCACTCCCATCCTTCCACTGATGATGCCTCCCCTCCCCTCCTGAGTTCCCTCCCCCCCACCTTCCTCGTCACTTCACTGTCCCATTTTCCTGACACCACCCTCCAGCCTCCACCTCCTCTCCTGTGGTCATCATCCTGACCTCTGTATCTCAGCACACAGAGATCTGTGGTGTGACTGTGGTGTGGCTGTTTTTTGAGCAGAGGGATGGAACATTGTCCTCACCCTTCATCTTTTCAGACGTCACCTCCTCATCTCTGCTATGGATCCACAGTTACTAATGAAAAGTCAGCCTTGTCCCATGGACAGAGACACAGCCCATGGGGTTTTTTAGTGTCCTGTTGCTGTTGTATTTCTGTGACGTCTTCTGGGTTTTTACTTCTCTGGGAGGGACAGGGCCGATTGTCACCTTAATTATCATCATTACGTACAGGTTCTAGAGCCCAACTGACGGTGAGACACATTTGTCAATTTTAAACACATCCACTAAAGGCCTCTAAGTGGACATTAAATATGTGCATCCTATTGTCTAACATATTTATTATGACATATTTATATTAGTTCTACTACAGTTTACAGAACACTGAGTTTACTACATCTGTGTTAGATCAGTTCATCAGTTGGGCTCTACTTTTATTATTGATCTTAAACTCTTACTCCACATCCATCATTATCTCCATCTAATGAGACAGACTTTTTCCGTTTGTGAGCTTTGAACAATTCACCAACATTTTTTTTATCTGAGGTTGATTTACACCAATCAAGAAATGCAATTGGAATTAAACCACAATTTAATCTCTAAACTAAAAAACTCAGATGGAAGTCAGGAGACATGTTTTCTGCAAACGCCATCGCCTCTTCCAAGATAAATGTACATCACTCTACGTTGGTGAGCTCTTCATGGCCCACACAGCATTTACACCATGTTTATATTGTTGACCCCTGTGACCCTCAAAGCTCTCAAACCTGAACTGACTCGATTTCTGCTGCCTTTGAACTCTCTGTTTTGTCTCTCGCACCGTGATAGTTCCTGAAACTAAAGAAGTGGTGATCCACAAGTACAAGACCCCTATGGTGAGTCCTCACTGTCGTTGTTGCTGCTGCTGCTTCCTTAATTTTAGCAACTGCATGTGGGAAAAAGCTCTGCACAAAGGAATGAAATAACATCTGATACAAAGAAAAGAGTCTAATACTGCATACTAACAGTATGAGTCTGTGCTGGTCGTGACAGGGAGAACTGGTTGAAACAATTGAAATGAATTGGCCCTGTTTGCACCACCCCTATACCACCCCTATAATAGCCCCACCCCTTTGTTTGTCAGTGGAAAAGCTCATTGTACAGGAAACACATTTGAAGGTAGTCTGCAGGAGCATTGGAGCATGATTGGTCGAACTGATCACCTGCTGATTCTCCTATCATTAAAAAAAAACACAAATAAGATTTGTGAGATTTGTAAAACAAGCTTTCCAGGAGATTAAATTAAATTAATTGGGCTGTTGTTGATGTTCAGAGCAGGGACACTTCCTGTTCTGAACTGATTGATGAGAGGATTTTCAATGATGCATCAGGAAGAGACTGTAAACCAGACAGGAGTGGGTCAAGGCAGGGATTAGTTCTTCCTAATGACATTTGTCCACATTTATACAGCGGCCAGTTGTCCCACTAGATTCCGTCTTTATCCGCATGTCTGATCACACTCCTTTTTCTCTCCTGTTTCCTCCTTAGGCACATCAGATCTGTTATTCCGTCCTCTGCCTTTTCTCCTACGTGGCGGCAGTGAAGGGGAAGGATGCAGAAGGAAAACCCAAGTTGCTGTCTCCTCGACCTCTGCCTAGCTAGTCTACATTCCTATAGTTCCCCACCTCCTCCTTGTCCCTCCCCCCACCCCCCACCCTCCCAGTGATCTCTGGAGTGCCTCTTCTGACAATCCATAACTTTATTCTAAGCACACAACTCCTGCTCCCCGCTCCTGTACATACCAGCCCTGTTTAGAGCGTGTTGTGTAGACGTGTTTGCTCTGTGATGTCATGTAAATACTCCCTCGCTGCTCCTCTTGTGTGACAGACTGATGATGTAAAGACTCAGCAGTTTGGTGAGGACATAGCTCATCGAGGCCCAGAGTGCATGCAGGTCCCGTGCACAGCCTCTACACTCACGCCTCCAACTTTTGACCTCCATCTCCTCGTCTCGTCTTCATGGTAATTCTGTAATGATGTGGTTGTTGTAAAGTTCCGGTCTGTCCAGGTTTGTAGTCGTGTTTAGGAAAAAAAAAAAGCGTCGGCCAGACGTCCTGCTCAGAAAGTGCTCTTGTAAACTGCAGCAGAGAACCGCATGTTCACGCTTCTACAACGGTGTTGGAACCCTAAAGTAACGTCAGTGTTCTCCAGACCCAGCCTCTCACAGGTTGCAGTACTGTTCTAGTTCTACTGTAAGCTCCCCCATCTGTGGTCCGCTGTTATCAACTGCATGTTAGACAAAAAATAAATATTATATATATATAATTCTATATATAGTATTTATTTAATATATATTCACTGTAAAAAGAAAATAAATGTTTATTTGCTAGATGTGCAATACGTACTGAGTACCTAAGGATGGCCAGTTGTTTGTTTTTGTTTTTGTTTACTGGCTTTCACAGAGTGGAGAATGTAAGAGGTTTTTGTTTTTTGTTTGTTTTACAGAAAGTCCGTATTGAGTGGTGAAGGTGACGATGTGTTTTAAAGCTGACTGTTAAAAAGTGGCTGTTTTCAAAGGTAAAACAACTTGCACTCTGGTTGACAACTAGGACCGTGCCCACAGTTTGGTGATGTCACACATGAGTGTTTGAGCTGCCTGTTGCTTTTTGTCACAACTAAGAATTTGCATATGTGATGAGTAAGGTCGCTTGAACACTTGAAAGATGTTGGACAAATACCACAGTTACATGTTACAGATGGATTTCCTGAGTCCAAGTAAAAAGTACAGTGTATAGTACAGTACAGTGAGATCATGCTCAGTACAGGCTGTCCACAACACAAACCACGATTGAAAATGTAAAAAACTTAAACCTAACACCTACGTTCTAGCTGAAAAGAAAGTTAAAACGTGTTCCAAAAAAGAACAATACTTAATCCCAAATTATTGCTCACCCAAGAACTGCAAAATCCCTCACTGCTTCCACTGGGTGTTAAACAACAGACACGTTTCCATTTAGCGTTATTACTGCCCCTAATTGGCTACTTTTTCCCACTCTTTATATTTTAACTCTGGATATGCACTGCAAAGACAAACCAGAAAACAAGGTAATCGTGTAATGAGTATTTTTAATATTGAAACAGGATTTGGAAATGCGCAGTGAGGGAAGACAAAAAAAATCATGTTAGTACATCATTTAACAGCAGCAGTTTTTTGTGCCGATTTTCCCTCAGTTCCCAGAAACAACAGTCTCCTGATGTGTTGTTGTTAGTCAGTCCCATCACTGTATTTGTGTGTGTGTGAACCATTTATTCCAGAACAGCAATATTGGTACAGTTCAGTCGCTGGAAGATCTTTTATTTTCACCTTGCTTGTATTTTAGTAACTTAACAGATAAAACGTAGGAGTGAAAAAATATACCGTAAAGCTGTTTCCTTAAGGAATGTCGACACCTGTCTACCAAAATGGATCAGAACAGTTATGTGATGTTTTTTTTCTATTTTGTTTTGATTTGTATTATACTGGAATCGTACAGTTTATCTGCTGTCATGATACGAGCCATCTGCTGTAATTACAAGACAAAAAGTTAATAAAATGCAAGGTGTAAGTATTGCAGTATTTGAGTTATTTATAGAAGACATACACGTTTGGGCAATATAAAACAAGTTATAAAAATGTAAAATGAATTAATGTAGTTGGTTGTCCAAGACTGAGGAAAAAACAGGAGATTTTAAATACAATCAGGACTAAAAGATGACAAAGATAATTTACAACAAATATACCCTAAGCATACAACAGTCACTCATTTTACTGGAAACATTAGAAGGCAGAAGAAAATCCTAATTTTCCCTCACAGTCACACAAATTAAACATAATTAACACTAATAAAATTAAGCTTTTTTTTAAATGCAGGCCCCAATGTTTTGTCTAAAACTTTAATGTGTTTTAATTGATAGTAGCTCCAGTTTATTATGTTAGATGTCAGAAGATTTTGCCCTAACTAAATACTTAATCACATTAAGGCCCTCCTCTGGGAGGGAAACAGTCACTTGTGTAATGACTGTTTCGTTTGCCCTTGGATGAGAGGTGAAACGTCTTCAATTTAATTGAGGCGAGTCTAGTTGCCTATTCTGTTTTTTTTTAACTGCTTTTGAGATTATTATGATGACCTGGATGACTGAGAATATCCACAAGAATTCTATAATATAGTTATTTTCACTGAACAAAAATCAGTTATTATTATGGGATATAAGGAAAATCTGTGATTTTGTCTGACAATCATACATTTTGATGTAGAAAAGTGGTTCTCAAACTGTGGTACACCAACCAGCGCTCTAGTGGTATGCAGAGGAAATATTTTCACATTTACATTTTCAATTGAATAAATCTGAAACATACCATGCACAATTAATACAACATTTAAACATAAACATCTCTCCTGTGTGGTGGAAGCTTATAGGGAAGGTCTTTGCTGCTATATTCTAATGTTGGTCATCATGGTGGTATTCAGATAGCTCAATGTATTCTCAGGTGGTACAGAGCATAAAAAGTTTGAGATTCTACAGAAAAATTGTCCTCCCAGTAACAAAGTTATAGACTAAAAACATTTACCACTCACGCACTATTTCCATTACACTGTTTTACTGTCATAACAGTTTGATTCAAACCAACAAACGTATGCAGCATGTCAGATTTTCTATACCCCAATTTAGCTTTGAGCAAGGCTACTTTAGTTTAACTACAATGTTCTAACTCAGCTGAAAAAGTTCCTTTAAAATAATACAGTATGTAGAATTCTGGTTCTCAAACCTTTTTTATAACAGAACTGCGCAAAATCTTCAGGCGTGACATCACCTCATCCCAGTCCAGATAAACTCCCTCTAGGTGTCGGGGAAAATGTGGTCTGGAGATGTAGCTTTTTCGTCCATGCAGCGCACGCCAGTTATCAAAGGTCATGACGTCACCTTAAAAACAGAAATCAGGTTAAAGGAAACATTTCAATAGAGCTATATATATACTATATATATACTAATAGCATTGAAAACTATATTGTTTGTATTGTATAACTCTAAAAATATTTTATATCAATATTTCAAAAATCACCAGAAACATGCCTTACTATAGCCTTACTACCTTACCAATAAGGCATGTTTTGGGTGATTTTT